CACAAATCCGATTTGAACACTGCATCCCACTGCTCTGTCGTAACATGGGTGGACAATATATGGTCCAGCACACAGTTACATAAATATAAACAAACTGGGCACCAAGTACAGCTCAATACTCAGCAGCAGGGAGGAGGTCAAATGACAGAGATAGAATCACCAGGCTCTATGTATTCAGTGAATCACAGAGACAATCCAGGATCTGCCCTCCCTTTTCCATCATACTGAACAGGAAATCAAATACAAAAAGGTCTAGATCAACAAAGATAAATACAGTAATAAGACAATATACTGATTCATCTAGTACAATAGTTAAAATTCTTCTCTAGGTATGAGGAAAACATTTTCTAATTGTCTGGATGAATGGCTGAGACAGGGATGTCTTTTAAGCAACATTTTCAGTGACAAAAATGGCAGCCTTGCTTAAGAGGGTTGAAGAATACTTGTTGAGGGATGTTCGATCACTCCTCCATGCAGAACATTTCCAGTTCCTTGATATTCTTGAGTCTTCACTTGTGGACAGCCTTCTTCAATAAACACCACAGGTTTTCAATTCGGTTCTAATCTGGAGACTGAGGAGAGGGCCATTGCAAGACACTGAGTTTGTGTTCCTGTCAACATTTCTGTAAAGATTTTGATGTGTGTTTGGGGTCATTATCTTGCTAAAAGGTCCAGCTATGGACGCACCCATAGTTTCATCTGGCAGAGTTAGACAGAATTTAGGTTAAAATCTTATGGTATTTAGGACAACGAGCAGCAAAGCCCCAAAGCTTTAATGATCGACTATGACATTTGACAGTGAGTATTTGGTGCTTTTTTTTTTACTGTATGCAGTAAAAAAATGTGTGTGTTTTATATATCTATAAAAACACACATGACTGACAGTTATGGCAGGAAAAAGTCAGTTTGATCAGAGGTGTTGACCCGTACCAAATCTCCAAATTATGCAATACTGCCTGTGTTATATAAGTATCTATAGCTCCAGTCCTGACAGCTAACTGTATATACTGGATCAGCTTACACATCGCAGGAGCCAAAGGCATACAAATAGCCAAAACCATATAACTATGTCATGGAAGGCTCAGCTACACCATCAAATGTGAGAAACAGCTACATGTTTGATGTGGTTGTTCAATGCTAGCTTGACGTCAGCTTAAGTTATGTGAGCCCTGCTAATGTCCTGATGGTCTCTCAACAGTATCCATTGACTAGCTAAAGTATATAAGATGTAGACATGGGTTATATTGCAAAAGTCAGTCACTGTTTATTGTCAACTGTCCATCATGAACAATTCTCAACATTAAAAAATGATCTGGGGCAAAACAATGGAATGCATTCTTCACCTGACCATCTACCTGTGACAGACTGATGGGAGATGGCTGAAAGTTTATTCTCACTATCCAAGGATTTCTCCTTCACTGTCTCAGCTCTTTCCCTTCACAACACTGGACAGCCAAGATGCTGTAAAAGCTTTTGCCTGGAGATCTACCACCCTGCACAGTTTGGCTCTAGCCCTAATCAAACAGACCTGATCCAGGTAATAAAGGCCCTCAGGGGCATCTGAGTATTAGAGCCAGGTGTGTTGGATCTGAACTCTCCAGGGCGGTAGATCACCAGGACCAGGATTGTGCACCCCTGGCTTACGCTATTCAGCTTTTCTGCTGTCGTTACTACAACCAGGAAGCACACAGGAAATCACAGCTATATTTCATCTGTCAGGATTTATTTTATTTATTAACTAACTGTGTTAGTGTATAAACGTTGGCTCTATGAGCACCGCTGTCATCACCACACACAATCCGCAATATGGCAGTGGTGACAAATGTGACGTCAATCGAATACTATCTATGCCACCCACCAGTTGATCTACAGACTTTGATACATTCACTTCAAGCACTAACACTTTTGAAATTAGCCCTTTGAAATGGTTTGCCTTTTATGCTAATACTATTATATAGAAATCTAGAAGCTGATCCTTGATGCATAGCAGGATTATTGCTGACTAATGAAATCTCTCTGTCTTTCGCTTATACACTGATAGATTACACCAGCTCTTAGGGGCCGATATAATATTGTATAGAGCAGATAAAGAGTCAGTAACCCCTAAAAGGGCTGCACGATGTGGACAAAATATCCTATATCGTAATGCCTGTATATGCAGTATATTGAAAAAAACACATTAATGAACCTTTGATGTGGCGTGGACGAAGACTGCACCACTTAGACCAACATTATCTGGTAGTTTGGTTCATGTATGTGCCTGTATTCAACCAACGCACTGGTGAATCATTGATGACACTGATAACAATGACATCACCAGATTGGATTATTTTGATTTTTGATATGAGCTCCCACAGAAGCTCATAGAGAGATTGGCCAGCACACAGTAAACAAACTTTCTGATTGTTAGAGGCTGCATTTACATATTCATGACATCGGTATCACAAAGGCCAATATCGCAATAATGACTAACAAATGATATCATGCAGCCCTACCTGCGTAAATATGACTATAGTTTTGATGGCGACACTATTATCACAAAAACATTGTATTTTCACAATGACGGCAGTAGAAACTACAGTATTTACTGCTGCAATCCTGAAAATGTATAGCTGAAGTTACGGAGGTCTTTCACAGATTACTGGCAACTTTTGATCTCAGCAAATTACTTAACCCCTTAAAGCCTAGGCTTATTGTTCTAGTGTTAATCTTGAGGATTACTACTGAGTAATTACTATGAATCATTTGGTAACTACCATGGAACTAAGAGGGACTAAGAGATTTTACACTGAAAGGAACAGATAGCTGATGACCTGTCTGGGAAACCAGCCCTCGGAGTTTAAGGGGTTAATGAAGTCACGACTACCTGAAAAAGGCACATTACGCCATTGCACCACTGTGCAATCAACACAATGCACACACATTGACAGTCTGTCTCCTCTACACATGTGCAGTTTTGTCATGTAGCTCACACGCACGCAGCTCATAAGGTTTGACGGACAGATCTGTGGACGCTAACCCTCGGCTCTCTCTGGACTCTGTCAATTAACCACACACTTCAAAGTGGCCACCCAAACATCACCAGCCAATTAGGGATTCCTGCCTGACGCTCGATCGACCGGCATCAATCCGCTGCTTTTCCCAGAGGCAGCTATTCAATAAGTTCTCTGTGCACGTAGAGAGAGAGAGACAGAGAGAAAGGGAGCGCGAGTGAGGGAGAAAGAAAGGGAGAAACACAGAGAGAATGAAAGAGAGAGGAAATAAGTCAGACAGTGGCAGTGTGAGTCGGACAGAATGAGAGAGAGACAGTGAGCTCGCTATTGCTCACTATCTGATCACTTGAAACGGACAACGGCTTTTCTCTGCTCATCAACTATCATCTGGCTCTGTCCATCATCCAACAGCACGTTTTTGCCTGGTTCTCATAGTGAGGCGATGCACCACAGACCATGAATCTTTTTAGCATTTTGTGTATAACCAATGGGCTTTTTTAGGATGAAGACAAACCAACCGATATAAGAACATTTAGGACATTTCTAGTCCTAAATGAGTCCTACTTATTGATCTCTATGTAACGGCACCTTGACCCATTCGAAACCCATATTGTTCCTTAATTTTACAGTATTGTACTGTAAAATTGCCACCCACTGCCAACATGATCCACCTGAACTACTCAGCTAGGTTATATAGGTCACATGTGGAACAATATATCTTGAATATAAGCTGCGTATGGATATTTATTGTCCTATAGAAAGAGGTTAAAGACATTTTAACAAAGAAAGACCTCAATTAACCAGATAAGCTCAAAAATCAAGCCTGAGCAACAGAAGAGCAGGTAAGAAGTGTTCCTACACTCTTATAAAAGGAGGTTCTTCAAGGGTTCTTTAGTAAAACAAATATTCTATATAGAACCATGAACACTCAAAGAAACCTCTGCATGATTAAAGGGTTCTTCAGATGGACGGAGAACATGTTGTATATGATTCTATATAGAATCTTCCTGAAAAAGGTTCTATCTAGCACCAAAAAGGGTTCTGGTATTGTTACGATACAAGCTTGCAAGAAGAACCCTTTTTGGTACTATAAAGAAGTATTTTGAAAACATTCTGTATAGCACTAAAAAGAGTTCTGCTATTGTTATGATACAAGCTTGTAATAATAGAAGAACCCTTTTTGATGCTACATAGAACCCTTTTGAAAACGTTCTATATAGCACCAAAAAGTGTTCTGCTACTGTTACGATATGAGACTCTTTTCAAAAAGGTTCAATATAGAACCATCTACAACACGTTCTCCATCAATCTGAAGAAACCTAAAGAAACCTTTAATCATGCAAAGGGTTCTTTGAGTGTTCATGGTTCTATACAGAACCATTTTCGTTCCTGAAGACCCCTGAAGAACCATCTTTTTAAGAGTCTACTAAGCAAACTTCTTGGCGTTAGCCAGCTCAAGGAATCCTTTGTACACTTTTAAAAAGATGGTTCTTCAATGGTTTTTACTAAAGGGAATGGTTCTATTTAGAACCATGAGTTCTATGCGGAACCACTTCAGGCTTAAATTGTTCTTTGCATGGTGAAATGGTGCTTCAGATTGATAGAGGAGAATGTGCTGGTATATAGTTCTACATAGCACCTTACTGAAAATGGTTCTATACAGAACCAAAAAGGGTTCTTCTATTGTTATGATGTCAAGCTTGTAACAACAGACAGCCCACCATCTTTTTAAGAGTGCAGAGTTTGTACTTTGCAGAGTTCACTTCCAAACCAGAAGCAAAGAACCTGATCATCTCAGCTGGAACTCTGCAGATACGCAGCCTGGATCTCCATGAGGAGGGTACGGTGACCCCTGCATGATTACTCCATAAGACTTCTGCCCATGATGAACCTGATGCTTAGCTCCAGCACCACCACACCGAGATGTGTTCGCAGACTTAGTAGACTGCTATGGAGAGGATTTAGTAGATGAATATGGAAGTGGATGTGGAGGGAGAGCTGTCTTACCTTCACAAACATACCCAACCAGCCCCCAGATGAAGTCGCTGCAGTGGTGGCAGAAAGTCGGTTTGGTCAGAGTCACCTTGCGGAAAGAGTGTCCGTTGTTGTTGGCCGGCTGTTTGGACCGAGAACCGGGAGACTGCGGCGGCTTCCTTCTGCTGGAGCCCGGGCTGGAGCTGGAGCTGGAGCTGCCCGGGCTTTCTCCTTTCCTCCTGCCGCAGCTGGGGCTTTCTCCGGCGGCGGGCTTCATTCGTCCGCTGTCTGCCATCGTGTATGGGCTCCTCGCTGAGAACTCGCTTTGGAAACACGGGAGGGAAATGACAAGGAAAGCACCACCACGGTCGGTCCAGCGGTTTCGTGGAGAAAAACGACCGTTGAGCCGGAGAGTTAGCTAGCCAGTCGGAGCTAGGTTAAACCGCGCCGAGTCATCTTCTTCACCAAAGTGAATTTTCTTCTCCTCCTCAAGCGACAGTGTCTGTCCTCTTCAACCAAATAATCTAGGCTGGCGTGCCCACAGCCAAAAATCACATCCGAGAAAAAAAGACAAGCGCCACAAACCCGAAGCCGAGCTGGTCGCGAGGACGAGGCGAGACGAGTGAACTCAAAAATGCCACTTCTGAGATTGAAGACCGAAGACTCTCCAGCGAGCTAACGCTCAGGGTATTTACCTCAGAGATACAAAAACATGCCCCAGACTCGTAACGCAGGACGCTTTTTACAGCTTTTAATCGACATATGTGAAACTTAGCCGTAACGTTAAACCGGCACTGCTGTTTTGTTTTTTTCCCCTCGCCTGTTGGCACTTTTTCTCCACAGCAGATGAGATTCTTGTGTACAGCAGCGCAACTTCCGCCACACACATCGTTATTTTTTTACCCACCCGTGTTCCAGAAAGCCCCGCCCTCCTGCGTTCTTATTGGCTACTAGTCCGCTCGTTCTAAACCGCCTCTTGGCTTCGCCTCGTCAGGCAGGCGGGTCTTAATCGTTCTAGAACGAATCCTAGTAGTGGAAGGCGGGATTTGTCTGAATGCGGGTGGAAAATGAACCCAACTCCACGCTGGGTTCGCCAACCTCAGGGATCCGGGATCTCAATATAGAAAGAGGAATTCCGTTTTGACGTCCTTTCCAGCTGCTCGCATATACGCACACTCGCTTCGGCAGTCAAGGCACGCTGATACTCCCCCCATTTCCTGGGAACAACCAGAGCTGCCTTTCATGTTCACATTTAATCCTAAAAAAGGAATATAGGCATGAATGAGGCAGAATGGCATTGAAAATGGCGCACATGTATTATCAGTATTATCAAACCGGTTTCTACAGAATATCCAGAATATCTTCTGTTTGGGTCCTCAGGCTGCTTAATGGCCAGAGGTGGTCTTTGCACTAGGCAAAGGTAGGCAGCCACATTGGGACCCCATCAGCCAAGGATCCCTTGAAAATACCAATTGCATATACTGTATGTGTTGATGTTGAATAACCTATTCTGAAACATATATATCTCTTAAAAATAGATTTTTGCAACTGAACCATATAAAGCACCAAAAAAAGGTTCTTCTATTGATCCTATGTCAAGCTTGTAACAATAACAATAAAATAACCCTTTTTGGTGCTATATAGAAACATTTTCAACAAGGGTTCTATTATGGTCTTCCCCAAACTGTTCCTACAAAGTCGGAAGTACACAACTGTCCAAAATGGCCAAAGGCCAACCCATGAAAACAATCCCATATCATTATCCCTCCTCCACCAAACTTTACAGTTGGAACAATGCAGTCAGGCAGGTAAGGTTCTCCTGGCATTAGCCAAACCCAGACTCGTCCATCAGACTTCCAGATAGAGAAGCACGATTCATCACTCCACAGAATACGTTTCCACTGCTCCAGAGTCCAGTGGCGACGCTTTACACCACTCCATTCGATGCTTGGCATTGTGCTTGGTGATGTAAGGCTTGCATGCAGCTGCGCGGCCATGGAAACCTACACCATGAAGCTCCTGGCACACAGCTTTGTGCTGATGTTTATGTCAGAGGAGGTTTGGAACCCTGCAGTTACTGAGTCAGCAGAGCATTGTAGACTTTTTATGCACTATGCACCTCAACACTCAGCGACACGCTCTGTAACTTTGTGTGGTCTGACATTTCGTGGCTGAGTTGCTGTGGTTCCTAAACACTTCCACTGTTCAATAACACCAGTTACAGTTGATCGTGGAATATTTAGGAGGGAAGAAATTTCGTGAACTAACTTGTCGCAACAGTGGCATCCTATTACACCATGCTCAAACTCAGTGAGCTCTTTAGAATGACCCATTCTCTCACAGATGTTTGTAAAAGCAGACTGCATGGCTAGGTGCTTGATTTTATACAGTGAGACTGAATGAAACATCTGAATTCAGTGATGAAGGGGTGTGTCCCAATACTTTTGTCCATATAGTGTATTAAAGGTAATTGATGTTTCTTCCACCAGTCCTGAATCCTCAGTCTTCTTCCTCCAGTCCTGCTTCTTTTATTATACTGTCAGGCAAAAGTTTGGGCACACCTGTCATGTTTTGTTTGTTTTATACATGAAAATAAGTTAACACAATAAGAACACATTTCTGCTCATTTGAATGCACAGTTACTGTTTATTTGCTGAATTAAAAAATAAAAAAAAAATGTGACCTGTGCAAAAATTATGGCACATTTGATATTTTTTTCCCAGTATGTTGAACTCAGCAAATATTGTCCACTACAATTTACAGAAAAATTACCGTATTTAAGTTTCCTATAAGGAATGTATGAACTTATTTTTACTTAGAAATTCAACAAAACACGAACAAATTAGTGTTCAAATTTTTGCATATTAATGTATGTTCAGCAGATTAAGCGAGTGTGGAAACAGTGGGCAGCCTTGTCTAACTCCTTTATTGGTGTGGAACCAGTCTGTCCATTTTCTGTTGTTGATCAGGGCAAATGTTCCTCATTAAAATAACGAGATGCTCTGGTATTCCCGTTTTCCTGAGAGCATTCCGAATGCATCTGTACAGGTTTATAAAGGAACAAATATTACTGCTGCCTGAAAATCGTGGACGCTAAATATGAAAATAAAACTCAGACTGAGTTTGTGGTTAGCAAGTAATTAAAGCCTGTGTCACCCAAAGATATCGGCTATACTGGCCTTGAAGACTCCAGTGCAAAGCTAAAGAAGCCCAATGCAGACACCAAACATGTGGTGGCTGATCAAGTACATTGTGGAGTAACGGGAAACGGTGCACGTCTGATTTAGGGGCATTCAGACCTAAAATTAACATTCAGTATGCTAGTATTTTACATTTTCTGCAGTGCAGCATTGCACGTCCCTGATTGGTGGGATAGAATTCATGATTTTGTATCCTTTTTCATGCAATCAGTTTTCTGTCACTACGATAAGCAGCATTCATTTCACTAATATTGCATGCAACCATTGCATTATTACGAAGCCCCTGAAGGAACATGGCGTATTTTTTTTTTTTTGTAGGTAAAAATCTGATGCACATCAGATACTCTCCGCTACCACGTGGTGAGCACTTGACACTATCAGGTGAGCATCAGATAATATGTGGTGAGCACACAACGCTGTATGGTGAGCACCCGATAGTAATAGAAAAACGTCTATTAGTATCTGGTGCTCAACACATAGTATTGAATGTTCACCACATAGTATCTGGTGCGCACCTCATGGTATCGGGGGCTCACCTGATAGCATCAGGTGCTCACCACATAGTATTGGGTGCGCACCAGATTTGTACCTTCAAAACGAAAAGAAATCCAGTACTATGTGGTAAGCACCTGATACTATGTGGGGAACATCCAATACTATGTGGTGAGCACCAGATACTAATAGAATTTTTTTTTCTATTACTATCGGGTGCTCAGTATGTAGTATCTGGTGCTCACTTCATAGTATTGGGTGCTCACCTGATAGTATTAGGTGCTCAGCACATTGTATTGGGTGCTCCTCTCATAGTATCTGGTGTGCACCAGATTTTTTCCTACAAAAAAAGTACAAAGAAATCCAATAAAATACACCAGGTCCCTTTTACCAAAATAAATAAATGAATAAATAAAAAATACTCCATGTCCCGTCAGGGGCTCCGTACGTGTCTGCCCCAAAGCTTGTATTTTTTCAAAAAGTCCTACCACCTTCCAGACAGATCATCTGATTGGGATTGTTTAGTCTTTAAACTGGAAAGTTTCACTCTTAAGTCTGTGCCACTACAGCTGTAGGAGGTCAGCAGGCATGTACAGCAGATGAAGCAGTGGTTATATTTTCTATTGTGGCCAAAGAGCCCCTTTAAGTTGTTCCATTGAAACGACAGCTTGATTACAAAGTGCCATTCAGACAGCAGAAGAAACCACTGCAGCCTACAGGGTCTGCAGCTGCAGTGACCACTGCTTTCCTGATTAATGGCTCAGAGTAGAGTGCAAAGGTCTTGGGTTGATTATACAGATATAATTTAGATCGGATTAAATCCTGAAATCTGAACGTCATTGAGTCTCGTAGACCTTGCAGACAGGATTTAATCCAGACATTAAAAATCCAATCAAAACAGTCTAACGTTGAACATGAGTGGTAGCATGCACTTCTAATGACCCCTAGTGGCAGAATGTGCCATTACAAGACTGAGCTGCAACGCTGCACATACAGATTTAAAGAGGAATTCCACTGATTTCCCAAAATGTGTGCATAATCCAATCATTAAGATGTAACAAAGTCAATCAGACAGTGGTTTGATGTGAAACTGGCAATTGTAGAGAAACTTACACTTCTTTTGGATTTCTTTATAGCGTGGTGATGGGAACCAGGAGTCGTGATGCCATCTACACAAATCGAGTCAGTTTATTTACTAGCCTAAACCACTGCCAATATCTCTCCACCATAAATAAACTGGAAAAATATACATTTTAGGCCAAAACCTTCCCAAAACAATCTCAAAAAACAATGTCTCAAACATCAGGCAGCATTCTCATGATGATTTCAAGTACCAGCTTTCTGTGAGGGAGTTTTCAGAGGCATTAAACTCTTCAGGATGTCTGGTTCCTATCAGCACCACTGTGAACAATTCTGACTCAGTAAGTTTCTCTGCAGTGGAGCATTTCACACCAAACCACTGGTTTGATGTGAAATTGGCAATTGTAAAGAAACTTACTGACTCTGATTTCTTTACAGTGGCGGTGATGGGAACCAGGAGTCGTGATGCCATCTACACAAAGATAGCCAATTTATTTACAACCTGAAATCACTAGTAAACCTTCATGTGCCTTCATGAGTTTTCATATGTAATGTTAATCATGGTAAAATAGTTAAAAAAAAAAAACATTTTTAAAAGTTAAAATACATTTTAAGCCAAAACCTTCTCAAAACTATCTCAAGAAAACATACACTATATTGCCAAAAGTATTTGCTCGTCTGTCTTCACACGCATATGAACTTGAGTGACATCCCATTCTTAATCCATAGGGTTTAATATGATGTCGGCCCACCCTTTGCAGCTATAACAGCTTCGACTCTTCTGGGAAGGCTTTCCACAAGGTTTAGGAGTGTGTTTATGGGAATTTTTGACCATTCTTCCAGAAGCGCATTTGTGAGGTCAGACACTGATGTTGGACGAGAAGGCCTGGCTCGCAGTCTCCGCTCTAATTCATCCCAGAGGTGTTCTATTGGGTTGAGGTCAGGACTCTGTGCAGGCCAGTCAAGTTCTTCCACACCAAACTTGCTCATCCATGTCTTTATGGACCTTGCTTTGTGCACTGGTGTTCAGTCGTGTTGGAACAGGAAGGGGCCGTCCCCAAACTGTTCCCACAAAGTTGGGAGCATGAAATTGTTCAAAATCTCTTGGTCTGCTGAAGCATTAAGAGTTCCTTTCACTGGAACTAAGGGGCCGAGCCCAACTCCTGAAAAACAAACCCATAACATAATCCCCCTCCACCAAACTTTACACTTGTCACAATGCAGTCAGACAAGTACCGTTCTCCTGGCAACCACCAAACCCAGACTCGTCCATCGGATTGCCAGACGGAGAAGCGTGATTCGTCACTCCAGAGAACACGTCTCCACTGCTCTAGAGTCCAGTGGCGGCGCTTTACACCACTGCATTCGACGCTTTGCATTGCGCTTGGTGATGTAAGGCTTGGATGCAGCTGCTCGGCCATGGAAACCCATTCCATGAAGCTCTCTACGCTGTTCTTGAGCTAATCTGAAGGCCATTAGTGTTTGGAGGTCTGTAGCGATTGACTCTGCAGAAAGTTGGTGACCTCTGCCCACTATGCGCCTCAGCATCCGCTGACCCTGCTCTGTCATTTTACATGGCCGACCACTTCGTGGCTGAATTGCTGTCATTCCCAATCACTTCCACTTTGTTATAATTCCACTGACAGTTGACTGTGGAATATTTAGTAGTGAGGAAATTTCACAACTGGACTTGGTTGCACAGGTGGCCTCCTATCACGGTACCACGCTGGAATTCACTGAGCTCGCAACCCATTCTTTCACTAATGTTTGTAGAAGCAGTCTGCATGACTAGGTGCTTGGTTTGATACACCTGTGGCCATGGAAGTGACTGGAACACCTGAATTCAATGATTTGGATGGCTGAGTGAATACTTTTGGCAATATAGTGTGTCTCAGGCATCAGGCAGCATTTTCATGATGAATTCAAGGTTTTGGAGGCATTAAACTCTTCTGGACGTCTGGTTCCTATCACCACCACTGTGAACAATACTGACTCAGTTAGTTTCTGTAAAATTTTGCATCAAACAGCTCTAAGTGACTTTGTTTGCTACTTAAAAATCAGTGGGATTCTTCTTTAATCACAAGCCATCAGAATTCATTCTGTATGTCGCTATACAAAACAATGAAAAATGAACTGTAGGTCTAAAACAGATGCAAACAACGACCGGTGACCATCAAAAATTTTATTATAAAAGTATGACAATGGAACCCATTACAAAGCATCAATTCATTTTGCACTCTTTTTTAGGGTACAAGCATAAATATCGACCAAAAACACAGTGCCAATCAAACCTTGGTTTGGTTTTCTCAGTGGGGATTTGCTGCTTTCTTGCGTCAACATAATCTACGGTGTATTTCTATATATATAAAAAAACAATAACAACAGCAACATCGTTGCAATAGTTGAAAGCATTTCCGGATTCCGGTTCGAGTCAGTTTACAGTCTGTGGCTGAGAGCAGGTTGATATGTCTGATATGCCAAGTGCCATAGCTGGAGTTCACTCCCAGTTCAAGTCCAAGAGAACGAGGGAATGTGATTAGAGGCCGTAGGAGGGCAGGACGTCTCTAAAAACAGACCGAAATAGAGAACAGTGATGGACTGTAAGAGTGTCAGGTTATTAAAGGGTTCCATACATTCATCCAGCGGTCTGGAGTAGCGACGGCCGGGTCGCTTCCACGTGAAGGCGGCTGCAGGTTTACTCAAAGCAGGTCATCAACATCAAAAGAAGTCTGAAAACTATAGAGGCCCACAGGCGAACACAAGCAAGAGAGAACACTGTTTATACTTTTAAAGTTCACTGACTTTTCAAACCTTGAAATCAAATATTGAGACAAGTAAACAAGTCATTCAGTGTGGTTAGATGTAAAACGGTGCACTGTAGAGAAACTTAAAGGCTCTTTTATTTTCCTTTACAATGGTGGTGATAGGAACCAGGCGTCACTATCACGGTCTACAACACAAATACAGCCTTTTTATTTACTGTTTATTTATGAATTGAGAGGTTTTAGATGTAATGTAGACCATAAAACAGGTAAAATCTGAAGAAAAAGGTTTGCTTTAGGAACTACTTTGCCTGTGGACACACTGCATGTACCTCTATGTCATAAACAGGCTGGAAAAAATACTTTTTATGCCAAAACCTTATCGTAAAACAATATCTCAGGCATCAGGCAGCATAATCATGTCAATTTCATGCTAAAAACCTTCTGTGGCGTAGCCATTAGGGACTGTAAACTCTCTAGACGTCTGGTTCCTATCACCGCCACTGTGACATGTTTCTCAAGAACATCAAACCACTCTGAATGACTTCACAGTTTAAAGATCTCATCACGCAGAAAACATGAAAAATCAGTGGAATTCCCCAAGGCCTTCAGTTCAGGATCGTTCTTCTCAGAACCAGCCCTGAAGGGCCTCCACAGAAACGACACTTATGGCTGCAGTGAATTAGAATTAGCCCTTGATATCTACACATATAAACAAGCGATCTCACCTAGAGTCGGTTTCCCGTAAGTTCACAAAACAATGAGCAGGCATCGTTCTGAACACCATCTCTCATTTTTAATGTGATGGTATGGACACGTCACTGTAGACCTGAGGAGATCTAGGACTAGATCGATTTTCTCCGTCAATTATTCTGTGCCTCAAGGTACCTTGGTCCTACCTTGCTATAATGACTGGTACTGTATCTGAAACCCAGTCCTTTTGCAAATCGAGAGCTGGAGCTAGTTCTGTAAGTGTGGCTGCGATGCAGAAGGCCGCAATATGCAAATGAGCCCTCTAACCGATCACAATACTCAGCTGTTTGGAGCGAGCACCCTGACCAGTCATGGATGTTCTATGAAAGTTTTTTGATTTACAAACATAAAGGTCAGTCTCAACCCATGTCACGTAAAGGGTTTTCAATATATCGTACAATACATCATAACTGCAACTATAGGTGGCATCCGATACCAGGTATCCCTATCGGGCTAATATTAGCAGATTTTTTTAACCTTAAAGAAGTGGTTTGGTGAAAAAGTAGTCGATCAGCCAAGACAGGTTTGGTGTCCAAACTTTGCTTCTTTAATTTAGCACTGAAGCTATAAGGCTGACGATGCCAACAAACACTACAAGTCAATAGTCACCCAAATCTTTTCCAGAAATACATCCTCAAAACTCCTTTTAAACCGCATTCAGGTCTTTGTTAAGGCTGCATAGACTTGTCAGAGTGGTTTAAGACACAGTATGACTTACTGTGAACTATAAGAAAATAGAATTTACTGTATAGCTAAATGCAACATCCACCTGCAGGCAGGCAGATGGACAGATTCCCTTCATAATTTCTGTTGTTAATTTTTACAGATAACTCTTAATCTTGAATTTTCTAGCTTTGGATATATGTTCATAAATCAAAACAACAGAAATTATGAACAAAATCTAGCATCCAGGTGACTGGCATGCGCACAAAGGGGAGTCAGATTCTTCTGGGGAGAATTTGGCACAGCACCTGTTGTCTGAAGTGGCTGCCCGCTGCGTTCAGCTACACTGTAAAGTTTGGTTTATGTTTATAGTTTACAGTAAGTCACACTGTGTCCTAAACTACATCAACAAGTCTGTGTGACCTTAATAAAGACCTGGATGCAGTTTAAGAGTTTTAGGGATGCATTTACAAAAAAGATTTGGGTGACTATTGACTTCTGGTGTTTGTTAGCAACGTTAGCCTCGTATCTTCAGTTTAAAACTAAAGAAGCAAAATTTGGATGCCAAACATGACCGAATACCATCTGACGTAAGCCAAAAACTGTGTACACTGGTTAATGTTTTTGCCAATCTATTCTTTTAAGTGAAGTGCTTTAATTAACATCACTAGTTTTAAAGCTGTAGATGTTGGTGATATGGAACACATACAGCAATTCAATACTTCAAGATATGCATTGCAATATTGCCATATTTAATTTTTTCTGAGGTTTGATGAGTTGGAACAGCCAAAAAATGCCATATTTGCCATATTTAAAATTTGCTATCTGTAGAATGTTTTTGATTCAGCGTCTCTGCACTAAATCCAACTAAACAGGACTAATTCTGCTCTTTTTGCGATCAAATATTTAGTTGGCCATTCTTGTTCAAGTACAGCCGAAATCCATGATATACTGTGATACATTATGTAATTTACCATGATAACAATAAATATCATATTGTCTAACCCTACTTAGCAGTTTTTGATGAAAAAAAAGACCATCAGTATCGGTATCAGTCTATCCTCAAGGTTTCAATACTGGTATCAGTATCGTAAAAGTGGTATCGTGCCATCTCTAATTGCAATATGATGCAGTCCTGTAAATATAACCCTAATGCAAATACAATCGCGATTCCAGCCTGCTGTCTTCACGTAACCATTGAGTTTCTTAACCTTATGAACGTTTCGCCTTTTAATCTTTTAATACAAAGGAAAACAAACAAACAAACAAAAACCACGAAGGTGGAGAAATCGATTCTCCGATTCTCTACCGATGCTCGATCACAGCTTATGAAATACACTCTGGTGTGTAAGCAGATTCTCTCAACAAGCAACAACAAAAAAACAATCGCCTTTTTCATCAGTACTGATGTTGTCGTCGTCGTCATCACCATCGCCACAATTCCGGTCATCGTTAGCACCACTAACTGAGAGAATAAAAATCAGCACCCTATCCATAAACACCTGTGTGACGCAAGAGTGAAGAAGAGAAAAGCTCAGAAAGAGATGAACACTACTGCAGTGAAGCTAGCTTTCACGTATTCTTATTCTTAAAAAGCTTCCGCTAACTTCATTTTTTTTTTTTTAACATAATAAAAAAATAAGCCCATTGGTCCACAGGCTCCGAGAACAAAGTAAGAAATTGCCAAGGAATCTTTTTCACACCGCAAGATTCGGGAGTAATTTGGTTTCGGATGCAAAGCTTTGGTAACTCATTGAGGCAAAACTAAATCAAGGCATTTCTCATCCAAAATGCATTCTGGGAGTGCAGCATTCCTGAGGCAGGATTCATTTAAAACCACGTAAAAAATTAACATGACTTAAACCCTGAATAATCAAACTCCAAACGATGCTGGCTTTACCACTCATTCATGCACAAAAAGACTCTAAGATATAGTTATGGCTGTAAACGTCTGTGTCAAACCAGACCTGTGCAGAGTCAAATCTGAGACTAGGATTATTAATAGGGGTGTAAAAATGCATTTGAAGATGACAATCCAGTCATTGACAATGCCATCTTCTAGCTAGAACCACCCTTATCACATGATGCCACCATCCTGGGAGGGTGAAGGCTACTACGTGTCCTCGCAGCTGCTTATGCAACATCATTAAAGAGCTCGACACGCTTGGAGGAGAACACTAAATGCCTTCTCTTAGGCTACGTTCACAATATAAGCCTCAAATCTGATGCTCAAATCCGATCTCTCTGACATGAAGTTCACACTCGTTTAGGTAAGTGATTCAAATCTGAAGACCAAACTCACAGCTTTATGCCAATGCTATTAACAGCCTCTAAGGCAGGGGTGCACAATCCTGGTCCTGGAGATGTACCACCCTGCACAGTTTAGACCAAGCCTGATCTAACACACCTGATCCAGGTAATCAAGGCCCTTGATTGTGACTATATGAGGCAGCTGTGTTGGATCTGAAGTATTCAGGGTGGTAGATCTCCAGGACAAGGACTGAGCACCCTTGATCTAAGGTAAGCTAAACTTTAGGTTTTTCAATTAAGACGGTCAGTTACGCTCACTTAGTTTCCCATCCGCGGATGGCTGTGGCATCACAAGGGATCGAACTCGTGGTCTCCCAACAACTGGGCCAACACTTAGATGGTGGTTCTCCCTCAGCAGCCTGAATACATCAATTTTTAAAAGTCAGAACTGGTTATATTTGCTTACAATCGCAATCAATAAAGTATGTGGTCTTTTCTGGGGAATTTTCAAACATAAAAACCCCCAAAAAATCTTGATTTATTGTATTTATCATCTATATTCCACTACAGTGTAAACAGCTCCTCCAGTCACATTCGTGCATTCAGTGTATTTTGAAAAATAAATGATTCCTGCCAAATAAATCAGTCCAAATCATGAAATTTGAGGTTCGATTATGCACTGAATCCTTATGAATTGAACTGTTAGGGTAAGAATTTTACACCCCGATTAACAGCAATTCTGAAAGTTGCTCTGCCAAGATCAGAAGACAGCTCAGATCAACTACAGCTTATCTTGTCTTTTGTGAATGGCGAGAGATACACTATTACAGCTGTGATGTCACATCACCACTGATGTCTAATCGTTACGAAAATCAAAATCCATAAAAACACGACCGCATGGAATATAAAAAATACAAGCAAATACAATTAAATAAAAATCTTACATAACTGTGTCGTGTTGACATATGCATATACACTATATGTCCAAAAGTTTACAGACACCAGTGTTTCTTCTGAAATCAAGGGTATTAATATGGAGTTTGTCTCCCTTTGCTGCAGTTCTAGCCTTTACTGTTCTGGGAAGACTACACAGTAGATGCTGGAACATCTGTGATATAACTGCATTCAGCCACAGGAGTGTTAGTGAGGTCTGGTCAATGCTTTTCTATGGAGATTATATAAGCTGTGCCAGCCTAGGAGCTGAATTCACTCATTAGAAAGGGTGTCTGGATGCTTTTGTACATACAGTATATGAGAAAAAAAAATCTATGTAGCCACAAACTAAAGCATTCCTTTGCCCACGAGCACTGGCCTCCCATGATCTCCATTATAGGCTTGGCTACAGAGCTTTTGCATCGGTCTCTGTCAGTCTCTGTCACAGGGATGGTCAGGTCAGCAGTGAAAGGTGTGCGGGCGGCTCCGGAGTCAAAGGATTAAAACTTCAGAGTTCAAAGTTGACGGTTAGGCTTCAGTTAGGGCAGCACTGCTGTACATGCTGCTATCTGCATGCTGAAGAGGTCGAGGGGTCAAACTTCGGCCAGAGCGGCAGCCAACTGTGGGTCCAGCTGTCCGCAGAGCGAGTCGACCAGGCTGAGGCTGGGCCTGTGGAAGGACGTCTCTACACCACTGTCGCACATGCCAGTCTCATCCAACGGTGCCAGCTTCAGCCCCTGATGACCCTCGGAGAGTGCTGCTCTATCTGAGAGAGAGAGAGAGAGAGAGAGAGAGAGAGAGAGAGAGAGAGAGAGAGAGAGAGAGAGCGCAAGCGCAAGAGAGAGAGGAGAGAGAGGCAGAAAGAAACAGAGAGAGAAAGAAAAAAGAAAGAGAGAGAGAGAGAAAGACACAAAAGGAGAGAGAGGCAGAGAGAGAGAGACAGTAGGGGGAGACAGAGAGAGGGAAGCACAAAAGCACAAAGGGGGGGAGAAATAGAAAGACACACAGACAGAGGTGGGAGATGAAGGGAGGGATAGAGAGATGTGAGGGAAAGAGGGGGGAAAGAAAGAGAGAGGGGGGGATTTACAAAGAGAGAGATTAACACAGGAGTCGTGAGTTGTAACAACAGTGCTTCACAATGCCACACAAAGTGCATTCAGACCAAAATAGCTCTGAATGAGCTGTCCACTGACTCAGTCAGAGATTCTTAGTTTCTTTACAAACAATGATAAGAACAAAAAGAAAAGGTAAGCAAGGTGAAGCCCCATTTTCCTCTTTAACACTTTCCCTCTATCAAAACCAGAGTTCAGGCAGCTTCAGCTTTTCTTCATCTGCGTGAATCACACGTTGAAAAAAAAGCACTGCAGTGGGATCTCGCTTCCTCTTTCCTGGGAAACCCCCCTCCTCTCTGCTATACTCCAGCTAAATGGTGTCATCATTTCTCTCTGTCTCTCACAGCGTACAGAAACTACAGTGTGTGTGTGTTTTGGCTGTCCCTTGGCTAGGGAAACCCCGGCTATGACACGCTGCCGTCGGGTTCAGGCAAGGTAAAGCCGACGTACAGCAGAATGCCACCGCAGCAGCAGTAAACAAGAATCCCTCTGAAAAAACCCATAGAAACCAAGAAGTGTTTCTGTTGGTTCATGGTGGTTTTGGCTGTTTAACACATTGATTTCACAACATAAATGACCAAAGTGAGGCTGATTCAAAGGCTTGATTCTAAATGCACTCGATGGTACCTAATAGGACCTAAAGGTTCTAGAGTAAACTATTAGAAACTATTTCCTATTAGAAAGCAAAATCATAAGGTTTTAATCCTCAATGTTCATTTTCAGCAGGGATGTGAGCTTATTTGGGGATTTAAATCATAATGCCACAGCGTACCACTGAAACCTGACCTTTTTATTTGATACGTCTCCACTTAGAGGGCTCATAGGTATGGCCACAGCCATCTAAGGCACAACGGATCCCTGGATGAAAATATATGTGAGCAAGTTTTTGTTTGTTGATTTAATTGACTTTTTTTTTTCCTATCTGAGAGGCTCTACAATATAAAGTGTGATAGCTGATATGACAGTACTGCCCTTGCAATTGTTATATTACTAAAACGTTTAATAAGCAAACCAGCTCTCAAAAAAATCACAGACAACCGGTTTGGTGGACAGGACGTTCACGTATTCGGGCTGGAACAGTAAGCAGTTTAGACAATACGATGAACAAACTGGGACTAAGTTAGCAATTTTTCCACAGCGATATTATTTGTTATTTTCAGTACATGTTTTAGTTATTTTCAGTACATCTAGGATAGTTTGTTGCAGAAGAGGCGACGAAAAACAACAAGAACAAACAAACTAACTAACTAAAAGAGATGCACGTCAGGTTCCGAATACTCTAATGCCATCTTCCGTATCAGAGCTCCTGTATTTCACTCATTTTATTGCCTTGTGCATCAATCTGAAGCAAACACAGCGCTGCTTTAGAGCACTGCTATCGTCGGTAGAACCTCCTATGCAATTGACCCGTTTTTCCAGAATGAGCCGTTACGGGTCGAGTCGGGAGAGTTACCAGCGGGCTAGTAGCATTTTGAGCCGGTTACTACTGTGCCAATGTATAAACTCACGTATATAAGCACTAAAGCCCTCAAACAAACTATCAATGTTACATCCAGGTATACATCTGTAGTAATTTAGGAGTTGACCTTAAGTGGTAACGGTGTCACATACAATGGACAGAGATCAGATGGTAGCTTTTATTCTCGTTTCCTGCTCCACCTTAAATGATGGAGCAGATACATTCGAACGCCTGTAAAAGCACTAGTGTGTAACTGCTGCACTATTTCAGTGGAATAGAAATTGGAATAACAAACCAACATCAGCCTTAAGAGATTAATGTATCCAATTCAGCGTGATGGTGTGAAATCTGGTACTGGCTGGCACAAACAGGCAGTTAACTCCTTTTTTGCATTACCAATGTAGCAGTTTTCATATGTGAATCACGTGAAGATGGACATCAGCGGCAAGAACTGCAAAAACACACAGTGGCGCAGAGGAGACAAGAATGAAACAGCTGCTTCAGGTGGATGAGGACATATCTGAGCAGGTGGGCAGTGAGAAACGCTGAGCTAAGCTCACTTAGCTAGCAGTAGTTTGTAGCACAAACTAATGATTACTAATGATGACAAAAGTTGTTAAAATTTGTGAAAAAAAGTTTCGCCAGTTGTCATCTTATCACTAGCTAGCTACCACGGTTGTCTTAGCATAGCGTATAAATAATTTAAATAGTTAAATAAATAATTTAAATAATAATAAATGCTGACAATGGTTAACTGGTGTCATTTATTTGATTTTTTTTTTTATTTTACTATTTTATCATTACTATTATTGTTTTAATACTGTTTTCTCTTCTTTTTTTCGTACCTTACTCAGTTCTTTAATTAATTTACTTTTATTACTTATCTGCTTACTATTTTTATTTGATTGTTTTGATCTGTTAATCTTATTTGTCCTAACATTTCCTAATTTTTACTTCTCTTACATAGTTTTATTAAAAAACTTAATCTTATTTTATTTTCTTTGCGATAATTTTACCATCACAAATTTATATTTACTCTTTTCAATTCCTTATTTTTTTTGCCTAATGCTTAGCTACACTGTAAATGAGGGTCACCCTGATGTACTCCAAATTTAAATAAACGTTGGCTGATTTATTTGATGAGCTCCTTTCGGCTAAGTGCGTGTGACTAGACAAACTCCTAAATGCACATGACCTGATAAACTGTAACACAGGACTGCTACTAAAGCCGCACTGGTTCATGTTTATGCAGGTCACTGAAATACACACATTTTTACGGATGTTAATCAGCTTTGCTACAGTATTGTTTTCCAGCTCTCAGTTCGATCCGCTGAAATACTCAGCTGCGGTCCAGAATGCGGTCCATCAGTTGACGATCCGTGGGATAATGTATCAGCATGCACAGTGCACACGCACACAAAATTACATGGCCGTTATTGATCATCACTGCTAAATCGTGTGTTTGTGAGCGTATTTTGTTAATAGCTGATTCCTACCAGAGGCTGATGTGTCGTCATTTTCCTCACACACATAGTGCTCCTGCAGTATGCTGACAGCGCCGCTGTTGCCAATACTCTTCAAGCCTGCGAAGAGTTCTCGAACCGTTCCACCTGAAACCTACACACCAAAGAGTGTACAGTCAGCGTCAGTCAAACAGCAAATCACATGGGTCCACTTAAACATTTAACATGTATATATACACATTATATACACATATATTTAAAAATACCTTGTATCTTCAAAATGGTAACTTTACAGGGGAAGGAAAAAACACACTTTACTTGTAATGTAAGTCAAGGGAACCAGACGTTTTAGGCCACTTCTTTTGGTCCATTCATCATGACATTTACATACAATGTAAAGGCCAAAAGGCATTTTCAAATGATGTTTTGTTCCACAGAGGCAACACACACACACACACATATATATATATATATATATATATATATATATATATATATAAGCATTTTTTATTAAACTGTAATGGTTAAACACAGTGATTAAAACTGCCTGTCTCTTTTCTTTTCCAAACTATTGTTAAAAGAACATACTGAATCTCTTTGGCTCTAAGGTAGTTTAAACACCTGAAAGGTTTGAATGTTCAGTGGGCTTTTATCAGTTGTTTTGGGTTGAGTATGTTAATTTCAGCTTGGGCTAGTAATGGTAAATATATTTTTAGAACTTCAGAATAAAGAACTTTCAGGAGCTGATCATTATATATTCCAGTACTTTTGTCCCTTTTGTTTTTTGGTCATATAGTCATGAACATATTACAGTTATCAGCCCCTTGGTTTAAGCAAAACTGGAATCTTATGTAGGGTATGTTTAATATGGTTTTAGGCCGTTTATCATGTTTATCCCTGACCCCATCTATAAGTAATACACTGCACAGTCCATACAAGCAAGACTTTTTAACATCTCTGTGAGTCACAGTCACTCATAATAATGCATATATCATGTACTTGACAACAGCTTCAAATGTCACTCAACCGATCAGATTTCAGAAGTGGAACTACTCGTTTTATTCTTATATTTTGATGGGACACGTCCTTGATTTTTGTCTCTTTGGTTAATGATTAACTGCCGATTAATGGTTGTAAAACAAGAATTTGCCAATTTCTCTATTCAAAAGAAAAAAAAAGAAGAAAAACATCATTATTAAAATAATGTCCAACACATTAAAGACCAGAGAACACCAGAAACATAGAAACAAATATTGATTCCATCACTGTTTAAACACAATGCCACATCAGAGATCTGCTTTCAGTTAAACACCATATCGAAGCAGACAGTCCTGATGTGAAGGAGTGCGATTTTGAGAATTTAATCTTTAATATCCAATTTAAAGTCTATTAGTCTTAGAAGCAGTTTCTGTGTGTATGAATGTCGTGTCTACGTGTCTGTGTCTTTGTTACCAGTACCTCATAGCTATCCAGTAGCGTGGAGGCGGGCCGTGGGCTGAGGCGGAAAGCGTTGGTGAGGATGCCGAGTCCCAGTGCGTGTGCCAGACTCTCCCACCCACCCGGCGACTCCTCCAGACACTGACACAGCGCTTGCTTCGTTTCCGCACTCAGACTACGCATGTCTCCTGCCAATGACACATGCACATTAAAACCAGACACACGCTGCCCTCGCATTGACCCTCAGAATACACTGGAAAGAAAACATCACCATTAACAGTACAGCACTGCATCATATGATGTAATGCTAATATGTTAACACACTAAACTATTAATGGCTCTTTTTTTTTGACCCTTCAAACCACAGGTCAAATCCAAGCCTCTGGCTTTTAAAGAAATTCCTTTGCTGCCTTCTGCAGACATCCAAGTCAACAAGCAGCAAACAAACAAAAGCAACAGCAAAACACAAAGCTACAGTTTCCCCTCAGGAGCCTCTGGTCTAACAAGAATCTACAAGCTGTACAAATGTAAAATATAAAATGTGCTACATTTTATGTTTCCTTTTTTCCTCTTTTATATTAAATTCAGCAAATAAACATTGACTGTACATTAAAATGTGCAGAAGTGTGTGTGTGAGGATGTGTTAACTTATTTTCACTTAAATAATCTACAAAATGTGACCGGGGAGCTCACACTCTTGCAGATGCCTGTATATTATATATACACACTCATAGGTTGGACGTGACTGGACGGTGGTGATGAAATCTGAAACCTCTATGAAAATCATGTAACCCCTGCATTCACATGGTGAAAATAGTGTTACTGAATTATTCAAAGTAATAAATAAATAGAATAAAATCTTTCTTTAGGGTCGAATCTGAGCAAGTAAGACAATGTGATGAACTGTGTTTAACTACCCAAATAACAACTGATCGAGATTAAATATTTTAATTATTTGAGCCCTTGTATAAACCTACTGTCCATCGAAAGTTTGAGGACACCTTTCTCCTGTTTTACTAAACACCCATATTAGGAAAAGCAATTTTTCACTTTTGAAAAATACATGCATTATGGAAATATTTTGAAAGTTTCAACTTGTACTTTTTGTGATGTCACAAAAAAAAACAATGTAATTACACATAACCATCTATTCAGCCTACAGCAGTTTAGTCCCGCCCATTCACACTAAAGTTATAAGGAGTGTTTTAGCCCAGAGTGCTTTTAAAAAGGCATAACACAGGGCAGCCAACTGGCACAAGAGGTCATTTAGTCTTAAAGGTACAGTACCCAAAACAACATGTGTAATTCTAAGGGATAAAGACAGGCCAGAAAATGGTCACGTAGAAATAAATTATTTGTATTTGAAAGTTCCTCTCGGACGGTGCTTACCTTGTGGTGGTACAAAGACAGTGCTGGGCTGGTACTCTTTACCATTTAAGATTTCTCGAACCTGGAGCACAGCAAAGGAAAAGTAAATACGCATACAGCTAAACAAATCAGGTTTCGAGTGTCTACAAATGTTATGCTTTTCAATAGGTTTGGTTATGTTTTCCAAAAATGCTGGAGAATGACCATTACTGGACCAGGAGTTGTCTGATTTTGCACTCATTCCTTTATGCACAGTTGTGTGCAACTCAGACACAGCAGTGCTGCTGGAGTTTTTAAACACTGTGTCCAGTCACTGTCCACGTCTACCTTGTTGGTCCAAGTCAGAGATGATAGCTCATCTGCTGGTGCACAGTTTGTGGTGTTCATCCTCTAGTCCTTCATCAGTGGTCACAGGACACTGCCCACAGGACGCTGTTGGCTGGATATTTTTGGTTGGTGGACTATTCTCAGTCCAGCAGTGACACTGAGGTGTTTAAAAATACCAGCAGCACTGCTGTGTCTGATCCACTCGCACCAGCGCAACACACACTAACACACTACCACCACGTCAGTGTTACTGCAGTGCTGAAAATAATCCACCAGCCAAATAATACTTGCGCCGGGGTGGTCCTGTAAGGGGTCCTGACCACTGAAGAACGGGGTAAAAGGGGGCTAACAAAGTACGCAGAGAAACAGATGGACTACAGTGTGTAATTGTAGAACTACGAAGTGCTCCTGTATTTTAAACGGAGCTGATAAAATGGACAGTGAGTGTAGAAACAAGGAGGTGATTTTAATGTTATGGCTGATTGGTTTATATCAGTCATTCTGAATGTAGAAATCTCAATAAGTGTTCTAAGTTTGAGAACTTTCTCCTTGCCGATGGAACACCTCCCATCTGAATACCATTTAAATTTCTGTGACCGTTACCAGTGTCAAAATAATAGAAAGTTTTGACCAACCATAGTCACAAAGTACCCCCAAGACACCCCACAATGGCTCATTTCATGACCACAGAGTGTGGAGTAATGTATGTAGTGTTACTCTGACCTCTGGGGATGCAGCCATGTTGAATGGGGTAGTCCCAGGGATGTAGCCCTCATCCTCCTGATCTTCCTCATCCAAGGCGCAGCAGTCCTCATCTCTGAAGAACAGTGGCTCATAGTTCTCTTTATGAGGGTCCGCACCTGGGATAAGCAGAGCTTTTTTTTTTAGTCACAACAATCTAGAACACTACTTCTGATCTCCACCATCAATGTACTGACAAAGGTGGTAAAATTACATCTGACGTCTCAAAGGCTCTGAGAGTCCTTTCATTCTTTAAAATCAATTTTTTTAAAATTCAAAAGACAATTCAAGGACTTTTATGCTATATAAGAGATTAAAAAGATATGTTTTGATTATTTCGGTGCATACAAGGCGAACACAGTATTAGTTTCACTATTATTATTATTATTATTATCAACCTTCTCCTTTTTTATTCTTCATCTTTTTTCTTAATCCTCCATCCTTTCTTTTTCTAAACCTTATGCTATAGGCTGACTTCTTTTCATCTGTATTCCCCCAGATATTCTTCTTTGACTCGTTCTTTCTTTTTCTTCCTGCTTTCTTTCTTTCGTCCCGCTTATTTCTTTCCGCTTCTTCCATAAGTCCTTCCTTTCTTTCTCTCTCTCTCTCTTTCTCTTCGTTCCTTCATTTATTGCTTTTATTTCATTCTTTTTCTTTATCTCTCTCCCTTTCTGTCTCTCTTCCTTTCTTTATTTTTCTTCAATTATTGCTTTCTATTTTTTCCTTTCTTTGTTTTCTTTCTTTCCTTCCTTTCTCTTCATTCCTTCTTTTTCTTTCTTCCATCTTCTTTCCTTTTTTCTTTATTTTTTCATTCCTTCCTTCCATTAGTTTTATTTCCTTACCTTCTTCCCCACTGTTCTTTCTTTTTTCTTTTGCTTCCTTCCCTCCTTTTTTCTTCCTTTCTTTCTCCCTTCTTTTTCTCAGTTCTTTCCTTCCTTCAACTGTTCCCCCTTCATTTTCTCCTTGCTTTCTTTCTTCCCCACGTTTTTACACTTGAATTCTGTGCCTCATTCCTTACAAATATTATCCTATATTTTATTGCATTGCTGGCACTGTTTTACTTCAGCTGGTCATTATTAGATTTTTTCTAGACTGTTCAATTGTCGGCTCTTTTGTCGCTTAACTGGAAATACAATGAAATCATTTGACAAAAACTGACTTGATATTAGACTGAAAGAGAGCTGTTATCTCACTGACCTGCCACACACAAACAAGCACATACCTGCGGCCACGAGGAGTGCGCTCAGCTTGAGTGAGCCCCGTCCTGCTGCGATATGAAGAGGGGTGGAGCCATTATAGGTGACGCTGTCCACTTCAGCATCACCCTGCACCGAAAACAGATGTCAATCAGTTAGTACACCAATAATTTAGCAACTCTCTGCACTCGACAATGGAAAAGTGATTGACTGCCACAGATTGGCTTTTTTTTGCCCCATATTGCTAAATATTGCTATGATAACACACAGAGCTCAGAAAAATACTTTTGGCCCTTTTAGTTTTTCCAAGAAGAAGCTGCAAACTTGTTCTCCAAAATCACCCTTAAAAACAAAAATATTTCCATTTCATAACTAAAGGTATGCTTGTTACTGAGATTTAAAATATATCCATCATGCAACACTGTGTTAGTAGTGCAGGCTGGAGCCCAGCAGCTGGTGCACCATATGTTGCTATAGAAGCCGCGATTGTAGCCCTCTTGGTCAAATACAGCTTACAGACCAAGAGTCTCGTAGACGCTAAGGGTGTAACGAATTAGAATTATCGCTTTATGTAACACCATCACAGTTTTAGCTTTAGTTTTTTAGGTAGGTTGCGTTTCTTTATTTTATTTATCGAGTTTGCTGTTTTTAATCATGTAAAACAGAAGCGAGGGCGACTCGTAGGCTGAGCGGAGTTCAGTTGTAGCGGAGTTTCAGAAAGAGTAGAGGAGGACTGAGGAGGTTTTATAGCTAAGGGCCTGTCTGAACGCGAGGAGGACCACCCTGGAAGCGGAGGCAGCAGCGGCAGCAGGAGTGGTGGTGTTTCCCTCCTCATACGCTGCCAGAACTCTCCACAACAAACAGATTTGAGCCTCTGGCCAACCTGGTTTTAGCACTGCCCTCTCCAGAGACTCCATAATTACACATTTGAGAAGATTCGTTAAACTTATACCTTTTATCGAGAATTTGGGCATTGTCCGATAGTTTACAGCGTTCCCACATAGGCATTTCTCCGGCTCTTTTAGCATCAATGGCCACATGAACAGCAGAGCAGTTAGTTAACCACCAGCTATAATTTATTTATTTCAAAGGCCTTTGCTGATACAATGCTTTAGTATTCAAGCTATAGGTTTTGAAGCTTAAGAAAAAACAAACAAAATAAACACGAACAACAAACTAAATACAAAATTAAACATCATTGTAACAAATGCTATAATTCAGGCCAACTGTATGTTCGATTATCATTAGAGAGCAAAACTTACCTCCAATAGTAGGCAGCCTGCGAGTGACACGTTGTCGTGCTCGGTCGCCAGGTGAAGCGGCGTGCGGCCGCAGGTGCGCTCCTGAACCTCCGCACTCGCCCCACCCTCCAGCAGCGCCCTAACACTGCTCAGACTGTTGGCCAGAACGGCCAGGTGCAGTGGACACAGACCTATACGTGCAAAACAGCAAGAGGTTAGTGTTGTGAGATATACCAAAGGGTCCCAGCCCTGGACCTGGAGTACCCTCTGCCCTGCACATTTTTGGATCAGGTATGTTTGGAGCAGTGAAAACATTAAAATGTGCAGCGCAGCGGGCTTTCAGGACCAGGTCAGGGAACCAACGTGATATACCAAAAGATGCAACATCCAAATTAAAATGGAGGACGAATTCTCCAAAACTATAATTATGCATCATAGCCAGTATAAGCTAAATGAACTCTATAACAGTCTGAGGCTTCTTTACATTCAGAAAACATCAGAGAACAGTCAGCATTGAGAGACTTGGACAACAACTACTGGAATTGGCACTGGCAATACACTGAGCATTACTAACAACTGGCATCCTGGTTAACAATGTTAGCTTTAGTTTCATTGCTTTAGTTTTTATTATCACAATCGTACATTTCTTGTTATTCTTTCCAAACCCTTCTGTTATCAATGCTTGGCTACACTGTGAATAAGGGTCACCATGATGCACTCTGAGATTACATAAAGTTTAGCAAGCTAACACTGTGATGGGCATTCCCCAGAAAAGTTCATGGGTCAACAGTTACTCAGTAATTAGTGAGGCATGGGACATGCCTCATGCCTCAATCTGTCACCAAAATGTCTATTCTATGCTTTTTATATTTGGGGTGTAAGTAGTAAGAGTGCTTCATTTGATACACAATGAGTGTGCGCAGTGCTAAATTAGGTACAATGTGAGTGTCTGTGGCACTATCCTGACTGTATCGGGTAGAATATGAGTGTGGTTGGCACTATATTGACTGCACTGGTTAGAATATGAGTGTGGTTGGCACTATATTGACTGTATTGAGCACAATACTAGCGTGGTTGGCACTATACTGACTGTATCGGGTAGAATATAAGCATAGTTGGCACTACAACAATTATACTGGTTTGAATATGAGTGTGGTTGACCGTACTGGGTATAGTTGGCATGGTTGGCTTTGTACTACTGTATTTTGTAGAATATATGCAAAGGTGACAGTATACTGACTGTATTGATGAGAATATGAGTGTGGTTGGCACTATATTGACTGTATTGAGTCGAATGTTAGCATAGTTGACAGCATACTGACAGTATTGGGAAGAACATGAGTGTGGTTGGCACTATACTGACTGTACTGGGTAGAATATTAGCATGGTTGGTACTATACTGACTGTACTGGGTAGAATATTAGCATGGTTGGCACTATACTGACTGTCTTGGGTAGAATATGAGTGTGGTTGGCACTATACTGACTGTATTGGGTAGAATATGAGTGTGGTTGGCACTATACTGACTGTACTGGGTAGAATATTAGCATGGTTGGTACTATACTGACTGTACTGGGTAGAATATTAGCATGGTTGGCACTATACTGACTGTCTTGGGTAGAATATGAGTGTGGTTGGCACTATACTGACTGTACTGGGTAGAATATGAGTGTGGTTGGCACTATACTGACTGTACTGGGTAGAATATGAGTGTGGTTGGCACTATACTGACTGTATTGGGTAGAATATGAGTGTGGTTGGCACTATACTGACTGTACTGGGTAGAATATCAGATGGTTGGCACTATACTGACTGTATTGGGTAGAATATGAGTGTGGTTGGCACTATACTGACTGTATTGGGTAGAATATGAGTGTGGTTGGCACTATACTGACTGTACTGGGTAGAATATCAGATGGTTGGCACTATACTGACTGTATTGGGTAGAATATGAGTGTGGTTGGCACTATACTGACTGTATTGGGTAGAATATGAGTGTGGTTGGCACTATACTGACTGTATTGGGTAGAATAAGACTATGGATGGCACTATACTGACTGTACTGGGTAGAATATGAGATGGTTGGCACTATACTGACTGTATTAGGTAGAATATGAACATAGTTGGCACTATGGTGATTGTATTGTGTAGAATATGAGTGTGGTTTGCACTCTACTGACTGTACTGGGTAGAATAGTGTGGTTGGCACTAGTATTATATTGCAGTGTAGTATGTCACTGTACTAGTGTAGCATATTATTGTATGTTGATGCACTATACTTGGGGCGAACATATGCTTGTGGCTAGAGCGTTACAGGACACTGTAAAGCACAGCTTTTATTTCAAATATTGTACTTTTATAATGTTGATTGCTCTAATTAACTGAAAATGAAAACATGAACATATTAATGTAAGGCATTTTTAGCCACGCCTTATTTCTGCTGCATCAATAAACACACTGAATCGAGACACCAGTGTATCATCGCACTGAAAAAATCTGTTGACAGGATTTAGAGGGGACTTTTTTTTTCTACAATCTGTCACCAAAAGTTTAACAAGTTGTCCTTAGATATTCTCACTGTGACCCACTACGAGCCAATGTGTTGGACAGTGTAACTGTGTGTGGTGCTGTACCTGCTGTGTTTGGTACGCTGGTTAACTGCAGCACAGCTTTGTGGTGCAAAAGCAATCGAACCATCTCTCCCTCTTTCAGCTTGGCTGCCAAGTGCAATGCTGTGTTGCCATGGCGATCAGTCAGAGTGACATCTGCTCCAGCCGCAAGCAAAGCCTCTGCCGCCTCTTTCTGCTGAGTCACCACCGCCAGGTGCAAAGGTGTCTGCGAAATAATGACAGACGTCAATCCTACACTCAAACCATTGCTCTATGATGCAAAAGTCTGTAGTACATTCAGAACCTATGTGTGTGTGGTTGCATAAAGTACCTGATACAAGTCATTCCTCATGTTAAGAGCATCTTCTCCAGGAACAGCCGAAATAACATGGGCTAAATTCTTCACTGCATCTGTTTGACTGTGGATCACACCCAAGTGCAGTCCCCTGCAGGCATACAAACAAAACTCTCACTACAGTTCATTACAAAGACAAACACCTCACATTAACACTCCGTCTTCCCAAGAGATGTACACAAAACTAACAGATATAACACTCACTTATCAGCGCTTTAAATATATTTTCGAACAACTTCTGATTTTCTTACTTTAGTCTTCCCCCGTGGAATTGACAGAACAAAGAGGTCCATGAGGCCCATTCTTGACAAACAGTGAATGAATTAACTTATTCAGAAGAGTACAGATGAGTGCAGTCAAAATAACTCAGACATTACATTTTTTTGGGCAAAAATGTATTTTATAAGTTACATGAAATATGTTCTACGTAAAGAAATAGCTGTTTAGGATGAAACAAGTGAAGGCTAACATCTTCCTATCTCAACACCACACAGTGCAATGACAGCACATTATGGAAAGTTTATTCAGACTAAACATCTTGGGGGTTCAAATAGGTTGCTTGATGGTTACACTTGTCAGAATTTAACCTTAATTGAGGACAGCTGATTATTTAACGTCAAATTGTGAACTTTTTTTTTTTATTTTGTTTATACATGATGTAGTTAGTAACTTCAGGCTTTACATAGCACTTTGGGTGATGAGCATGATCTGGGTCGAATCAGATTGGGTCTGGACAAAACTGTGTCAGGCTGAGTTGGGAACTCAAAACTTGGTGGCGTAGGTCGGGTTGGAACTCCAAACTAGGTGGCATGGGTTGGGTTTGAAAACTTGGGGGTGTGGGTTGGGTTTAAACTCAGTACTTGGTGGCGTTAGTGGGGTTTGAAATTAAAACTTATGCTGTGGGTTGGGTTCAAACTCAATACTTGGTGTCATGGTTGGGTTTGAACTCACAACTTAGTGGCATGAGTTGGATTTAAACTCAAAACCTGCCGGCATGAGTTGGGATTGAAATCAAAACTTAGTGCTGTGTGCTTAGTGCTTGATGCCGTGAGTTGGGTAAAAATTTGGTACTGTGGGTAAGATCAGACTCAAAACTTGGTGCCTGAGGTCATCTGGGACTCAAAATCTGGTGTTGTGGATTGGATTGGACTTAAAATTTGGTGCTTTTTTTAAGGCCTTACATTTATTTTCACAGACACCCTTACAGCACTTCTGTCCGAGTGCCTTCAGGCGCTGCCTGTGTGTTTCATTGCTCCACACACACTGTTTTAGTCTTATCTCTGGGGATTTCCCACTGAAAATCCCTTTTAGTCTGAGACATGGTTTGGCAGCAATGTTTCTGCAGGATTCAGTTTAAACCCTAATCTAACGCACCTGGCTTCAATATTCAGAGGCTTGTCTGTAACTTAAGAAGGAGATGTAGAGTTGTGTCTGTGCAGGACTGGCACTAAAGCTTGTATGCCCTTCACTAATTTAAGACTGGCTCTCCCCAGGTTAAGTCTAGACTAATCTCTGTGGGGAGAATGAGTCAACGGGATCCCTGGCTTCAGGTATTGCAGTGTACAGTAAGAGATGAGGTTGGGATACATACGTGTCTCCGTTTTCATCCTGAGTGGCCAATAGGGGTCGCTGTGGAACCAGCAGCCTGCGAGTATCGCCGCTCACTGCATAGTCAAACAGAGCACAGGCATGTCTGTGTGCCACCTTGGCCAACTGCAGATCGAAAACACAGTCTGCAGAGACAAGAAACGTACCGGTGAGCACAGTGTGTCGCTAAGACCTTATTTACACCTTGTATCTAGACTGTAACCTGATATAATCCTTATTACATGCACTTACGGTCATACGCCAAGGTCTGAAAAGTTTGTTCAGGGAAGAAAATGCATTTTTTTGTGCAAAATTATACATATTTGCTGAGCTTGACATCTTGGGAAAAAAAAAAATTACTATACAATGTGTTCTAACTTTTGCACAGGCCACTTTTATGGTTTATTTTCATGCAATATGTCAAATAATGGTGCATTAAAATGTGCAGTAGTGTGTTTTGTAGAAGACGTGTTAATTTATTTTCGATCAATAAAACATGAAATGTGACCGGGGCACTCAAACTTTTTGCATATGACTCTACGCTTGGTAATTAAATGCCACTCTGGTTAGTCAGACAGAAATCCGTTTGCTGTATGAGGCGCCCTATTCAAATCAGCTCATATACACCAACTAATCATAGACATGTGGTGTTCTGTTCAAACACGGTCGCCGCCTCCAAAAATCATAACTTTGCATGCCGTTGTTCATTTGGTCACTGAAGGATGAAGGATGGCTTTGGTAGTCCAATGGGGTTTTAAAGGGGAATTCCGACGATATTTCAAAATTTCTGCATAATCAAATGCTTAAGATGTAAACAAAGTTGATCTGAGTGGTTTAATGTGAAACGCTCCGTTCTACAGAAACCTACGGCATCAGAATTGTTCACAGTGATGGTGATAGGAACCAGACATCCGCCTCTCAAAGCTCCCTCACAGAAAGTTATTAAATGAAATAGTTATGTAAACGCTGCCTGAGACATTGTTTTATGATAGTTTTGAGATAATATGAAGGCCTAAAATGTATTTTAAAATCTATTCATAGTGGAGAGGTACATGCTTGGTGCAAATGCCTTTTTCCAGATTTATACCATTGTCAATGTTTTTTTTATTTATTCATATATTTATGTATTAAAACAGCAGAAGGTAAGCCCAACATCTTGATCAATAAAACAATTAAAACAAACAAAATAAATAAATAAAACAAGGCAGAAATTATATAAAACTACACTTACAACTCTCATCGACCAAATTTTTTAAACTGGCTAAAAGGTAGGAGCTCTACCACAGGTTGCTCCACATTATCGGGGCATTGCATGAAAATGCTTTTTACCAAATTCTGTAGATGTGAGTTTATACATGGTATGTTTTATATATATATATATATATATATATATATATATATATATATATATATATATATATATACACACACACATGAAAAATTTGTATAGGGATGTGGAGTGTGGAGATGGTGTCTCAACTGCATCAGTATTGGAATGACATAACAAGTGCCCAATAATTGGTTTTAATAATATCTAAAACAGTATGTCGTCGCTGTTCAAACAAAACCTCCATTTCTATTGTTTTTCAGTTTTTTTACATAATTTGAAAAAGCCTACTGTCCTTTACACTGTATTTAAATTTCATGATAATGGACCACAGGAATTGGCCCAAAATGACTTGGAAAAATGTCTGGTTCCATTGACTTACATTAACAGTAAAGTATGTTTTTTCCTTCTCCTGTAAAGTTATCATTTTGGAGATATGAGGTTTTGTGCTGACAGCAGCGATATGTGCAATTTTTGGCTTAAATAAAACTGTCTAGTTCGTTTTTAATGTTAACCCACTCGCCATATTGCTTTTGTCAACATCCCACTACAATGTAGATAACTTAAACCTAATTCAGAATTAAAATCAAACCAAACCAGGGTGAAATGTGAAATTTCATTATGTATTTGACAGTTTTCTTTTTTAGTCAAAATACTACATATTAAAATTGCATTTACTACTAAATGCAAGCAAATTACAGGTTAGTCTGAGAGGGACTGTAACTGGGGCTGTTTAAAACTTACCTGCAGCTTCTGTCTCATCAGACGTGAGCTCCTCTAAATCCTCACCCTCCTCACTCCTCGCTCCTGTGGATTGCGGCTGGACACGCACTCTGACCCTTCCCCCTGAGCCTGGATCATCATCTAGATCACTGTCACTGTCCTCATCAGTGTCTTCCACAGGGCCATGAGTAGCTGCCGGAGATAAAAGAGGGATAGTCTGAGCTTCTAAGGCAAGTTTTTATTCCAACCAGTTAACTACACATCTTATTGAACTACTTGAAGTCAACAGCAGGTACTGCTCGAGCAGTTGAATCAGCTGAATGCTAAAATGTTAAATGTTAAAATTCATTCTGGTGGCGTATCGCTTTATTTTACATTCAATCTTATCCAATGAGAATACTAGTTTACACCAGCACTACAGCTGAGCAATGTGATAATATGCTTTTTCTGAGCATACTGTGGATATTGTCAGTACTTAAACAATTCCCAACTGTACATTTGACAACAATGAGAGCTGATTTTGTCCAGGATTTAATGCAGCGTAGTATGTAAAATAAATACAAATCTTAGTATTCATAATTTTTTACAGAATGTGGCACTACTTTGTCTTTTCCAACCTGTCATATGTCAGAAAAAATATGTATTGTGACATATTGTGTGTCATGAAAACATCATGAAGTATCATGATATTACATTTTTGCCATCTCACCAACCCTTAAGCTAACACTTGTGATTCCCTGTGTTACACTGGGTTTAATGCTACTTATGACAGATCCACCAAAAATTCAGGCATTTGAAGCTCGTAAGACATTCAATTAACACTTTTTTTTTTACTTTCCTTTAGTAAATACTTCTATTCAAAGCCGAACACTGAGACTGCTAGCCTGTACGGTATCTGCCAATAAATAAGTTCAACAAAATCAGGTTCTTCCATACTGTATTTTTAGTACTGTTATCTATCAATACTCTCCGTGGTCCATGTGGGCAAATTAAAAGTGCATTAATGCAAAATTCAACTATTATGAGTCAGTCGTAAAGGTGCGTATATCACATGTTTTACAATGGCTTCAAATGTGGCTCAGCCAATCAGATTTCAGGACTGGAACAACCTGTTTTATAATAAAGTGCTAAGACACTCAAGGTTGTACATTACAGTGATTTTACAAGAGTAGCTAAAAGCCCCTTAACCATGACAAATCAATTTAACGCACAGCCTTGAGCGGTTTACGGTTTATTTGTTCAAGCCATGTCAGACATTTTATATTTAAGTGTTTACACTTTTAGTTTCAACTGATTCTGCTAAGCAATGTAGGCTATGGTTCTCAAACAACATCATACAGATTATTCCATGAACAGAACAACGTCAGTGATTTACTTGGCTTAATTAATGCATTAGTGCAGAATCCAACTGATTTGTATGGTCATATGCATGTATATCAAGCCTTCAAACATGCCTTAATCAAATCAGATTGAAGATCCAGAACAATCTATTTCATAATAAATCTACATTACTCTCTTACTCTTTCAGGATTTGTCCACTGGCCTGATAAAGTGAGGAGGAATTCCACCAATCTTTCCAATTTTTGAGCATTATCAAATGTAAACAAAGTAATTCCGTGTGGTTTGATACGAAATGCTCCTTTCTAGAGAAACCTACTGAGTCAGAATAGTTCACAGTGATGGTGACAGGAACCAGATGTTTGAAGAATTTGGCACATTTAAAAGCTCTCCCACAGAAAGTTACTATATGAAACTGTTATGAATACTTTGCCTGATGTGGAGACACTGTTCTGTGTTCGCTTTGAGGGAAGGTTTGGCCTGAAACTTTATTTTAAAAAACATTAATGGTGCAGAGGTGCGTAACGGGCTTTATCAGGCAAAATGGTACCCAAAGAATAAGAATTTTTTTTTTGAGATTTACTACGATTTTACCATCATCAACATTACATATAAAAACTGAGAACACATGTAGGTCCACTGGTAGTTTTGGATAGCATGTAGAATGGCTACACTTGTGCTACAGACATCGCGACCCCTGGTTTTAAGTCGAGTTGGACGACTTAACATCTCAAAGATTAAATTCGTCAGAAATTTTGAAAAATTGGTGGAATTCCCCTTTGAGATAAGTCCAACAGGAATGACTGTGTTCTGTTGTACTGAAAAGTTTGCTGTCTGTCTTAGAAAGCCATTCAATAGCAAAATCTCACTCTAAACACTATGACCACAGTCCTAAGGCTGTGATTGAACTCAGAAACTCACCGTGCTTGATGCCGGTGCCTCCCCCACCCATGGAGGGAGGGAAGCCGTAGCCAGAGTTATAGTTGTTAAAATTTGAATAGCCCTGGTAGTAGTGACCTAAGCAAAACACAAACATTTAATTATATCAAAAATGATGTAACACAGGAAGAAAGGCTTATGGCAATACCCGCTTGACTGTACAACGATGCCAAGACGATCTAAGTGCACTTTGCGTACCTCCGCCTCCTGCTCCACTGTGGCCACCTCCTGTTGTAGGACCACCTCCTGCTCCTCTGTACATGCCCCCAGCTCCACCCCCTGGGCCCCCGTAGTCTGGGAAACTGGGCAGCGTCTTCTGCCTCTTTCTCTGAACCTCCTCCTTATCTGTTCACACAACGTAACATTACTACGAATGAACATCTCCCGTGCCTATTTATAGAAAGTGGGTATTATTTTGTGTTATCATGTTACGTGCTCTGTGATTAATGTGTCACTTCAGGAGGACATTATTTATCCTCCTTGTCTCTCCCTGTTTATTAAGTGTGGGCATTCTTTCTGATGCTTTGAAACAAACTGGTTCATTATTTATCATAAGGTGGGAGGAAGGTTTTCCATAGTAGATCTTCAGGTAGCAGATAAAAGGGTGACAGAATGTGGGTGGGAATTTTCCATCCATCACCTGAAGGTGGACAGTTGTAGGCATGAGTATGTGCTGAGGTAGTTTTTTCACCTGTGATCTGTAGATGATGCGTAAAGGGCAGTTTTGGGGTGTCTGTACCTTTGAACTGTGGTTGGTAAGTTAGGGGCGCCCAATTTATTGTCTGGGGCAAAGTGCAATGTTTGTGGTGGGCCACAATACACAAATGAAGAGGATAGGCAAGTTTCCAACTCAGTTTTTAGAAATGTATTTTACAACATTACACTGCAAAAATAGTATCTTGGTAAATTCAGTCAACTTTCAGTCAATATCTCATATTTCTCATTTTGACATTATGGCAAGGATGTTATGAGGTTCTTTAACTTATTTCAAGACATTTTAGCTTAAGTCATTTTATCTAGTAAAACTGTTTCACCTTATTGGCAGATGATTTTGTTTCAATGCGACGGAAACAAGCACAATTATCTGCTGTATATCAAGCAAAGTATAGAATGAGAGTAAATAGAGTAAGGCAGTAAATAGATAAAGTGACTTAAAACTTGTTGAAATAATTCAAAAAATCTTACAGTCTGCTCAGACCAATCTTGAAATGAGAAATATTAGATATATTGAATAGGTTTAAGATGTTTTCACTTGACAAGATGTCATTGTTGCAGTGTGTATTTAGTATGCCTAGAACAAGAACCTTATATGCTTCATTTACAGTGTAAAAGTTATGGGCCTTGGTCAAAGGACACTTTATAAAAAAGTTAAACACATCCTCTAGAGAGAACAATGAGGGGCTGTATGTGGTGGGTGTTTTTGCACCTATGATCTGCGGGTGGTAAGTGAACGGCTTGGGCTCGCTTGTCTCATTGTCTGATTTCCTCTTGAGCTGCACGAACACTGAGATGGGTTTCTGCAGATTCTGGTCCCGATACTTGGGTGTCTTGAAGACGATGGCAAACTAAATAAGAGAAAGAGAAGAAGAAGGAAAATTGAAATTAATGATTAATCATCTGATACTAAGGCTTTTTTTGGGATAACATACCATTACTGCAGTCACAAATGTTACTCCAAAATGTTAACACTGAAGGAGAATACATTTTTAATTTTATGTGAAAATAGCAACAACATAGGAGGAGTGACAAGGTTTTGATACATCAGTGACAAGACGCAGCACGTATTTTATTGTTTGATTATATCCAAAATAGAGATTCTTTCTCTTCTGGAACAAGTGCATCATCAGTCTGACAGGGTTAAGAGTGTCGCCTGTCCTCAACGCCTCAACACACTCAGCTGATTCTACTTGATCTTCCTTTGTATCATAAAAAAGGAAATATTACTTACAGGGGAAATGTGTGTCACATTATACTTTTCAAAATAAAGGAAGTGTAGTTTTAATGTAACTCTTTGCTAGCTAAGCTGTTGTTCTAATGTAATGCTTGTGAGTTATGCTTTACTTCACTCTGCTTTATGTGGCAGTCCAAGCAATTCTGAGATTTGCTGTGCTAGACTTGTTACTGTCACTGGGTATCGGACTGCTGTCATCTCTAGTTTTGGTCTGCAGGTAATAGGACTTTTGTGGGATATAATAACTAGCATTGTCGGTAACACTTTATTTGAAGTGGTCCTTTGTAGACTGTTAATAAACTCTTAATAGAGTATCAGTTACACAACAACAAGAAGCATCTGGATACACTGAAGTAAATATCTTGTAGATGTTGATACACTACTTACATTAAGTAGATGTTAATACATTAAGTAATGTTAATACATTACTTCTATCTAATTTTACCCAACCTTACCCAAAACCTAACCCTAACCCTGGCCCTAACCCTAACCCTGGCCCTAATCCCAACCCTAACCTTAACCTCAACCCAAAATCTAAACCTAACCCTCATATGTTACTGAGAGTCTATTGAGGGTTTGTTTAATCTAAAAAAGGACCACTCAAAATAAAGTGTCACCTGGTTGTCAAATAATTAAAATAATCAATTTAGATTAATTGCATTCTTTTTGCACAGTTAACGGTGATTATTTGCATTTGTCTTATTTGCTCAAACTGGACTGTGAAGAATGATTTTTTCCCCATTTATAGAGCAGAGCATTTTGTTATAGCTACATGAGTGGACAAAAATAGGCCTTGTCAGAGTGCATTTATTACTTTCAATAATAATTCAATTACACTATTTTTAGAGCTCACATGCCATTCCAGAGTCAAAACAGACTCCAGATGTTCAGCTAGAGCAACAGTTGCATGTTCCAACCAATGAGTGAATGTGTCATTTGTAAAGTCAATGGATCCAACTCCATAATTGTGGCCTCACGCTCTTGTTCATGCAGCTTGTGGATTCTTGTTACAGTGGGGCTCTCAAGTAGAACTGGAGCTTTCCACTTTACTGGTGCTTTTGTCAGTTTGCTGCTCATTGATTTATCCATTGGTCTCAAGCTCTGTCCAGTGTAATCTGCCGACGGTGATGAAAGTACAGCTTTAAAAGCCATACAAAGGCTGATTTTGAACGAGAGGGCTACAATCGCAGATTCTGTCATGGCAACATACAGCACACTGGAGCTAGTCTTCAGCCTACAATGTATGGTTTGAAGGGTCAAACTAGGAAAATTACAAGCAATATAAAAGGTGTATTTGAATGAGAAGGCAGCAATTACAAGCTTTGTTGGTTTTCTAAGTAAAAATATGTACATATCCTCTACAGAGAACACACTTCTGCACATTTTAATGCTGTTTACTCCCTAAATTTAACATACTGAGTGATAAAATGTGGCCTAAGCAGAAGTTAAGACACATTTTATATTTTCAGCTCATCAGTGATTAAAATTTGCATGCGATTGTCATCGTCCGTGATCATCTATGACTGACTCACCTGCCTGTGGACGTCAGTCGGAGAAAAGTCCCCAAACGCCTCCCAGGAGATGCCCGTTTCATCATCCTCATAAAAGCGTACCTGGATGTCATCTAGAACCACAAACATCAACAGCAACAACAATGATGACATAAGCACTGGGCAAGCCAATCAAGATGTGTCAACTCTGACATTCAGCAGTATAAGGAAGACGACATCACATCCTCCTACAGCTGACTGCGCACACGTACACACACACACACACACACACACACACACACAGAGACTAATTTGAATATCCTGCTAATCAGCATTCAAAGCGATGCTCACTTCCTCTATGGTTAATATTAAGTGATGATAATGCAAAGCTCTTTCAGAAATTCACTCAACACATCACAGCTTACAAAGATACCTGGAAGTAGTAAAAATAAGTACATATTCTCCATAGACATACACACACACACACACATACATATACATATATATATATATATATATATCCATCCATCCGTCATCTAAACCGCTTATCCTTCTGGGTCGCGGTGGGGTGCTGGAGCCTATCCCAGCTGTCATTGAGCGGAAGGCAGGATACACCCTGGACAGGTTGCCAGTCCATCGCAGGGCAGACAGACAGACATACACATTCACACCTAGGGGCAATTCAGCATGTCCAATCAGCCTGACTGCATGTTTTTGGCCTGTGGGAGGAAACCGGAGTACCCGGAGGAAACCCACGCAGACACGGGGAGAACATGCAAACTTCACACAGAAACGACCCTGGTCACCCATTGATTGGGTAAGATTTATCCACTAATGCCAGCGATATTTGTAAAGGCGTCAACAAAAACAGAGTAAATGCAGGCCCTACAGCAAAGTCCTTACGTAAAAAAATTTATTACAAACATTTTGAAACATCTCAAACCACTTGAAGAGGATTTTTTAATCTACATAATTCTACCACTGAGATGTTAACAAATCCAATCAAAGGGTTTTTTTCATGTACAATGGTGCATTGTAGAGATACTTATTGATTTATTCACAGTGATAATGATAAAAAAATAATGGGTACAAATATCTAAATAATATATTATTATATAACAAGCCAGCAGTGGGCCTAAATGTGTCTTAAGTTAAGAGAAGGAAAAACCCTTCTTTACTTTTAATGTAAATCAATGGAACCAGAATATTTTCCAAGTCATTTTGGGTTATTGTTTTAGTCCATTCATCATAAAATTTACATACAATGTAAAGGGAAACAAGTATTTTCAAATTATGTCAAAAACTGAAAACATCAAAAAAAAGGAGATGGCAAGGTTTTCTTCCGACAACAGTGAATAGTAAAACTGCAGTAAATCTGAAAGAAAGGTGTCTTTGAGGCATATTTTGCATGGCAGTGCCCTGCCTGTCCCTCTCCACCATGAAATAATCCACATTTTAGGCTAAAAACTTTCATAAAACAATGTCTCAGACATCAGCCAGTGCATTCATAACTATTCTGTGCATTAACTTTCTGCGATGTTTTAGGTTTTAGTTGCATTAAACCAAGTCCTGGCGGGCCAAAACACTGCAGACTTCAGCACACTGCCTCATTAAACACACCCGATTCAGCTCATCAACCAATTAGCAAGGCCTTTATGAACTGAATTCAGAGCACTGGATGAGGGCAAACGCTAATCTCCACAGCACTTTGGCCTGGAAGGTCCCCAGTTTGACATGCCTGCTTCGAACGTCTGGTTCCTATCACAACCACTGTGAACAATTCTGACTTTGTAAGTTTCTCTATAATGCAGCATTTCACATGAAACCACTCAGAATGACTGTTTACATTTTAACCATTTAATTCTGAAACATTTGTGACAAATTAGTGGAATTCCCCTTTAACAGCACATCTGATGCCATTGTTTATGAAAGATGAACTGCATAACCTTCTTTCAATACTAGAGCGCAGAGTGGAGGATGAGTCCTACAGGTTAAACCAGATTTCAACGTTAACCTGTCAAAACATTATCAGATATTGGACTGCTTTGCACTTCCTTATGGCGCTACCAGCTAGTGTGGCAGAGTGGGGGGAGTACAGAGAGAGTGATAAGAGAGGGAACCGGTGGAGAGGAGTAGAAAGAGAGAGGAAGAGCGAGAGAGAAAGTGAGAAAGAGTGAAAATAGATAGAGAAAAGAGGAAGGAAGAGAAACAGAGAGACTACATGATCTCTAACTTTCCTCCTGATCGCATTTGCATATTGAAAGGGGAATTCCCACCTGCTAGAAATCCAGGCTGGATGGCCTTCCTACTAAAGAGGTCATCAGCCACAGAGAGAGAGAGAGAGAGAGAGAGAGAGAGAGAGAGAGAGAGAGAGAGAGAGAGAGTGAGAGCGAGAGCAAAGAGAGCAAGCAAACGAGAGCCAGCGGAAGAGAGCGAAAGAGCAAGAGACACAGAAAGCAAAACAGAGTGCAAGAGTGAGCAAGAGAAGAGAAGATGAGTGAGAGAGACAGAGAGAAAGACAAAGACAGGGGGGACAAGAGCAGGAGTGAGAGAGAGAAAAAGCAAGAGAGAGAGAAAGAAAACAAAAGAGAGTGAGAGATATGCATAACCTTAATGCATAACTCCATCAGCGTCCACTGCAGCCAGATATGTGTATACACTCTGGGACAGTGAGTGACCACCAAACCACAGCCTTTCCTCACAGTTATACATGTATATCTGTAATATAAAAGTCCTTTCTTTCCTTGTCTTTTTTCTCATATTACTCACATAAATATATTTGATAGTTAATTTTTTTATCTTCCCTGTTATAAAATACACATATTCAATAAGTTTTGTTTTATTATTACATATACTTTTATATTATTTATTGATAATTAACACTTTCTCTTCCTAATTGTTGCATTATCATATTAATCCTGGTTTGTATTTAGTTTTATTTATTTTTTGTTTGTTTTTTTTAAATGAACTTTTAATATATAGATCTTTTTTGCTGTGCTTTGACAACACAAATGTAAATCTGTCATGTCAATAAAGCGAACCTGAACCTGATATGGAACACACGGAGGGAAAGAGAAAATGAGAGAACAAGAGAAAAAAAGCGAGAGAGGGGTTGGGACAAAGTAAAAGAGAGCATGCGAAAGAGAACAAGGGACATGGAAAGAGAAATGGAGCAAGCAAAAACAAGAAACAAAGGCACTGATGGTGAGAGACAGAGAGAAAGAGAAATAGACAATGGGGAAAAGAGAGAAAAAGAGAGGGAGCAAGAGAGGGAGTGAGAGAAAGCGAGACAGAGCAAAAGAGCCAGTAAAAGAGAGAGAGAGAGAGAGAGAGAGAGAGAGAGAGAGAGAGAGAGAGAGAGAGAGAGAGAGAGAGAGAGACCAAAGAAAGCGAAAAAGACTGAGGGAAAGAGCGAAAGAGAGCGAGACATGGAAAGAGAAATAGAAAGGGTAAAAGTGAACCTGATTGTGAGAAAGACAAAGATAAAAAGGGGGAACAAAAGAGGGCAGGAGAGAGAGTGGGAAAGAGAGGGAAAAGAGAGGGGGAAAGAGAGGGAAAGAGAGAAAGTGAGAGAGAGTGAGAGAGAGAAAGAAAGAGAAAAAGGAGGGACAAGATAGGGAGAGAGGGGAAAAGGAAGTGTGAGAGGGAGTGAGAGACACAGAAAGAAAGAAAAAGGAGGGACAAGATACGAAGAGAGAGAAAAAGAGAAGGAGCGAGAGAGAGTGAGAGAGAAGAAGAAAGAGAAAAAGAAAAGATAAGCTAGGGAGAGAGAGAAAAAAAGAGAAAGAGCGAGAGAGTGAGCAATAGAAAGAAAAGGAGAGACAAGATAGGGAGAGAGAGAGAGAGAAAAAGAAAGAGCGAGAAAGAGAGTGAGAGAGATAGAAAGAAACACAAAAAAGGGACAAGATAGGGAGAGAGAGAAAAAAGAAAGACCAAAAGAGAGTGAGAAGAAGTAAGAAAGAGAAAAAGGAGAGGCAAGATAGGGAGAGAGAAAAAAAGAGAAAGAGCGAAAGTGAGAGTGAGAAAGAGAGAAAGAAATTCGTTGGATATATTTACACTTTAACCATGAAGATGGTAACATTTTAAATCAGCAGCAGCAGCAATCAAGGTTCAGATTCCAGCCGTTTCTCAGTTCATGTAAACTCTTACTCTGATTTCTTTCGGATTTCTCAGCCTGCGCGAAAACAGACTCCTGTACCGAAAATAAGCAGCAGTGTTACTGTGAGATGGCAGCAAAACACTTTTGGAGTGATGCTGAAACCAACTACCTTCTCGGCAAAATTAAGGATTTAAATATTCTTTATCTTCTCAATTAAGTATGTTCATATTTTCAGGTAAAGTGGCACATCAAAAAAAGGAGACGGCAAGGTTTTCTTCCGACAACAATGAATAGTAAAACAGCAGTAAATCTGAAAGAAAGGTGTCTTTGAGGCGTATTTTGCATGCCAATGCCCTGCCTGTCCCTCTCCACCAGGAGATAATCCACATTTTAGGCTAAAAACTTTCATAAAACAATGTCTCAGACTCAGGAGATTTAAAAAAAAAAAGCCTTCGGGTTTTACATTACGTTTATATGTCACGTCTTATTCTGTGAGTTTATTGGCTGAAAGCAGAAATCTGATTATTGTCTGACTCATTTAAACCCGGAGTTCCCCATTATCTGATTATCCGAGTGCATGTAAATGGATTTACTGACAAAAATTTTTTTTTCTGCATTCATTGGATTATTAAGTTCATGTAAACACGCTCTGTTTCAGAGGTTAGTCTGATGACCTGTGGGAACAGTGGGGTGATATGACAATATGACATTACTGTGATAAACTATATGACGTTATGCTTTTCTCTGTATATCATGGGTATCGTCAGCACTTCTAGAACACCGAGCAACTGAATGTACCGCAAAAAAAAGAGAATTAGAGAATTATTAGAATTAGAATTAGCTGATCAATAACAACACACAGCTGCCCTGAACATTTTACATATCGTGAAAATGTTTTCAAGTGTGTTGTTACATTTTGGCCATTTTGCCCGCTCCTGGCTGGCTCACCTTTCTGGACTTTATCACACAGCAGGTAGACCTCCTCTCCCCCTGTCACACAGCCCGCCGTTCGATCCATCCGCACAATCTTCAGATTCGAGGCATTTGGGGCCTCTGAGAAAAGCAACGAGAGTGAGAGTGAGAGAGAGAGAGAGAGAGAGAGAGAAAGAGAGAGACAAAGACAGATGTTAATGATGCAGTGAACAAAATGTTCTCATTTTCTCACTCACTTTTTTTGGTACTGGAATATTTAAAAATGTGAGCTGAATGACTTAGAAGAGATTAAAATAAAAAGGAAGGCCTGACGGACTGAAAGAGAGAACATAAGAGGTGGAAATCGAAAGCGAACCCAGTTTCACTAAGAGGAAGCGATGAAACTAGGCTTTCGTCAGAGACAGCGAGAGCGAGAGACACACACAGAGAGTGCGAGAGAGAGAGAGACATAGTTTCATTTCTTGATCCCACTAACTGGAACTCTTTCAGCAAGCTTGAAGGCAGGAACACAGTATGCATTCGTTTATGTAAATGGTAATATCAGAGCACATGTTCCCCCTCCTCCTCATGATCAAGAGCTTCCTTCCCTTTATTACTCATCCCTTTTTCCCTTCCTCATCCTCCTTCTCTCTTCTACGCCACTACAGACTCTCCTCAGTGCTGATCAACTTCAATATGAATATATTACATACGTTTATCGTATTATTATGGCTAATAAGTTTGCATTAATCAAGTTGATGCCGTCCTGTATTCAGTTAATGATTAAGCATCAATAACATCCATGAATATGTTGCTGCTGTTAGAACAAAACCTTGTATCTCCAAAATGGTAACTTTACAGAAGAAGGAAAAAACATACATTACTTTTAATGTAAGTCAATGGAACCAGACGTCTTTCCGAGTCATTTTGGGCTGTTTCTTTTGGTCCAATCATTATAAAACGTCAAAGATGGACATACAAGGTTTTGTTCCGACAGCAGCACTATGTTTCCTGAGCTGCTGTCGTTCAAACACCCCAGATCAAATAACCTGTGAAAGCAAGGGAACACACTCTCTACAGAGAACACACTTAGCCCTTGTGTGGTGTTCGGGTCTGTGGGACTCATTATCAATGGTCGGCAAAAGAAAAAATGATGCGATTTATTGTTACATCAACCCCAGATTCCCTGGCCTTTGCTCATTTTCTGTGAAGAAGATATAAAATAACATTTTCAGTGACTTCACACTGTAAACCCCCCACCCATTTATATTACACATGTGGTGTTGGGTGAACCCACGGGGAATAAAAGTGTGGAGGTGGTGTGTCCCTTCACTCTGTTCTCCTCCTACATAGTCTGCTGTTAGTGTGTGTGCATCTGTGTGTGTATGTGTTTGTATATGTCTGCCTGTGTATGAGGGTGGACATGGACAGGCTGCTGACTGGCTACAGCTGCTAAATGAGAACCCTACGCTGGCCTCTTGTGATATTTTAAACATCTGGTATTTTTACATAAATTGTTATGGCTGTATTAATACCAATAATGCTGTAAACAATAAAGCAGACCACTGAGAAACAAAAACATCAACACCACACAGGAGTTAAATATTGCATCTGTCTTGCTGTCTTTTGCCCACAGTATGTTAAAATCAGCAAATAAACAGTAACTGTGTACTAAAATGTGCACAAGTGTGTACTCTGTAGTGCATGTGTTAACTCATTTAACATGGAATTTGACCAGGGGCGCCACATGTGTGTGACATATCCTGTTGGTAGTTCTAGCCTGAAGCGTGCAACAGCCTCAATCACTTGGAAACATTCAGGCTTGTTAACCAGAACATTTAATTTGTGGACTCACGCAAACCATTCATGCATAAAAAGCTCCTTGTGCAGATCAAAACGAGTTACAGCTCTTCTGACCTGTCCAGCACAGTGTTTGCCTATGCACATAGCTGGGTGTGTCCTTCAGGCTCTGTTCCTGATGGAAGCCGCGGAAGAACCGACTCTGGCTTAAATGTGTATCATTAATAACAAACAAACACTCACTGCTGTCGTAGATTGGCTCAGATATGACAGGGTCCAGCCTCCGGGTGAAGCCCCCCTCCCCATCCGGCAGAAAAGCTGTAAACATGAGCCTGACCACGCTCAGGTCCATGTCTTTGGCCTGGTGGCTCGCAGCCATGTTGATCAGACTCCTGTGATGGTCTGAAATCAGAATCAGACACAGCAACATGCGATACTGGACTCATCAACCACAAACATAAACCTCCAAATAAAACACAGCTGATTTTGTTTGTTCCTTAAAGCTTGATATCATGCATGAAACAAGAACCTCAGTAAGAGATCCTTTCCCTAACCAGTTTAAACAAATACTATCAAGTGTACCAAGCCACCCGAACGCACACATTAAAACATTTTTGAGTCACCTAAGCCGTGTTACTCCTTTACTCCTTCATTTAAAAGAACCTAATGAGTCAAATCACACGGTGAGTAAATCAAGGATGGCTGATTGCACAGTTACATACGCTGGTCCGCCAGAGCCGAACGTCAAGAAGTGCAGGCACCCACAGGCACACTCACCTGAGAGCTCCCTGGGGATGCGTGTTTCTCCTTGGAAAGAGTCAATTTCCTGGTGAATGGCTACTCCGTAATTATAGCCTTGCCTGTAGGCCTCACTCATCCTCTCCTCCAGGGTCTTAGTCACATTCTTCTTAGTCACGTGCAAGATACCCAAGTTAGGAAAACTAAAAACAAGTTGCATATGTTAAAAATGCTTATCTACAGACGTGGCCGATATGGCAAATGTAACATCACCATTTTTTTTAATCAAACATGCAGTTGGGAAGTGTTTTTTAAGACCTGATGATATTCATGACACACTCAGTTCTACTTACACCGATCAGACATAACATGATATGATCACTTCCTTGTTTTGACGCTCATTACCCATTTTTTCAGCTCCACTTACTATATAGGTGCACTTTGTAGTTCTACAGTTACAGACTGTAGTCCATCTGTTTCTCTGCATACTTTGTTAGCCCCCTTTTACCCTGTTCTTCAGTGGTCAGGACCCCCATGGACCCTCACAGAGCAGGTACTATTTGGGTGGTGGGTCATTCTCAGCACTGCAGTAACACTGATCAAAACACTGGTGGTGTGTTAGTGTGTGTTGTGCTGGTCTGAAGAGATTAGACACAGCAGGGCTGCTGAAGTTTTAAACACCTCAGTGTCACTGCTGGACTGAGAATAGTCCACCAACCAAAAATATCCAGCCAACAGCGTCCTGTTCCCCACTGATGAAGGACTAGAGAATGACCAACACAAACTGTGCAGCAGCAGATGAGCCATCGTCACTGGCTTTACATCTACACGGTGGACTCACAAGGTAGGAGTGTCTAATAGAGTGGACAGTGAGTGGACAAAATGTTTAAAAAAATCCAGCAGCACTGCTGTGTCTGATCCACTCAGACCAGCACAACACACTAACACACCACCACCACGTCAGTGTCACTGCAGTGCTGAGAATGACCCACCACCCAAATAGTACCTGCTCTGTGAGGGTCCATGGGCGTCCTGACCACTGAAGAACAGGGTAAAAGGGGGCCAACAAAGCATACAGAGAAACAGATGGACTACAGTCTGTAATTGTAGAACTACAAAGTGCACCTATATAGTAAGTGGAGCTGATAAAATGAACAATGAGTGTAGAAACAAACATAATGTTATGCCTGATCGGTGTATATGTGCACATTCTACATTAGCAATCAAATAATCGACCAGTTACTTTGACTATTAATTGAATCGCAGTTTTAAAAAAGTCCCGACAATAAAAATGAACTTAATTGAAAAATAACAAAAAATGAAATAACATATTTCAAAATATTTTACTGGAAAAAAGACAAAAAGACAAGCGGTGCCAACAGAAGACCTGCACAAGAATTCCTTACATAATTATCAGATTCATTGAAAAGGTAAATTTAAATCAATGAAACGATTAATTGTGACAGCCACTGGGCAACCATTTGTCCTTCCTGAAAAACCACTGCTATTAAAAAATCACCTGATCCAGACATCTTAAACCAACAAGTTAATGTGGCTAGAAACAACTCTGGGGACTGCCAGTTAGTACAATCTCATTTGCATATATAAACTGAGCCCTACTGTGATGGCAGTTAGCACATCCCCCAATGGAAGACTGGAAAGGTATGACTGTCAGCTGTAGCTTTCATTTGCTACTAGCAATAATAGCATTCCTTTTCAAACTGATGCAGAATGGCAGCAGCACCAGCAGTGCCAGAGAGAGCAACTGACAGAGTAGGGGATTGTGGGAATTGTGGGAGTGTGCTGGTGCAAACCTGATGCAGGAGTCTTTGGGCTGGAGATCGGCGATGCAGACGCCCTTCTCACACTGCTTGCCCACCAGGCTGTGCGCGTGCAGATGGGGCTGTTTGGTGTTGGTCACAAGCTGGACCACAACCCGCGCTGGACCTTGATAATTACAGATCTGAAAGAGAGGGAAAAAAAAGAGTTATTAATTAACCAGTCTTGTAAAGCACTGTACAACGTTTCATTAGCCATATTCTTCAGTGTAAGTTAATGGAGTCAGCCGGATAGAAGAAGTAGTCTAGAACAGGCCTGGTTCTGAAATATTCTAAAGCTTAAATGAAGCTTATTTTTGAGATTATGCCTACATAACTAAATCTTGAGAAAAGGGATAAGAAACCATGAGACAGCAAGCAGAGGTGGCCTATTGATATCAGTGGGGGGCGGTTCTTTGCACCAGTTCCACTGCGAACTTCATTTGGTTCCCTAAACAAGCTCTCAATGGAGGTTCCTTAAAGAACTACTTCTGTGAATGAGATGCACAAGCGTGAAGAACCTTTTCAAAGTTCAAAGGATGCCCAGAATATATATGCCAATTAATGAATTCACTCAGAACCGTACGTCCAGGCCAAACACCATTTAGAAACATGATGAACTCAGGAACTCTGCTACGTATAAAAAGGTCTTGATGTTTTGAGAATGAAAAGATACACATCATATTTTCACACATTCACATCGTTAATAATTTTATATATAACGAAAAATTTTTTACAGCTCATTTTTCTAACGAGGGCACTGTACATTCTAAATGAAGCTTGCATATATATATATATATATATATATATATATAAAAGAAGGAGAAGAGAAGGGTAAGAAGGAGAACATGTTAGCAGTGCTGTTTACTGGTGTGGTCGCCAAAACTTTGACTCATTCTGTTTGTGGTTTGATGCTCTTTCTATTGGATGCTCTCACATGTGGTTCAGACACTTTCTCTGGTCCGATCTGAGTCAAGTGTGTCCCCCAGGTAAAAGTCCCAGCATGACATCAAAGCAAATATCTAACAATATCTAGACACGCTCCTTTAGTAAGAGGGAGGCATTTTCATAACATGAAACGCTTCCTTTAAAAATGGAAATAATATGGAATACACACTGTTCAGGCTGTAACGAAGGGGCCACGTGGCCTCGCTGCAGAAGAAGCACAGTTAAAAGGGCAAAGCCTGGCACAGTGTGGGACGACCAACAACATGCACTCATGCAACCCGGAAACCCCCTCAATATACCAACCTAGTGAGCTGAGGGAGATTGATTCATGTTTGATTCCCTCTGCTGCTCAATGACCTGAGGAAAGCACTTAATCATCAGACCACCACAATCACCACCTCTTTACTCGGACCACTGTAGACACTGTCTAGTCATACTATGCATCTTTGTATCTCCATTAGGTGCAAAATTAGGAGCGATAATATATGTTTTTTTTTTTACCCAACCTTACCCAGGCTTACCTCATTTTTCCACCAATTTATTCACTTGCATGATGCTACTACACTGGGAAAGTGAAGGCTAAAGCTAGGGCTAGCTAAGAGATAACTTTTTAATATCGAAAGTGCATTTTGAAAGCAAACATCAAAGTATGTATCTCAAACTAAAAAAATAAATGTAAAGCTAATAATTGCAATTTAAATCGCAGTGACAATGTCGGTCACAATCACACTGCAACTCAATATTTTCCCAACTTGTTCGGCCCTATGTGAAGCGCCACCACATCTTTTCGAACCGCCTCTAATGCAATGCCACTGGTCAGCGCAACACACTTGGTGGAGGCTGCTAACTGCCAATTATATGACAAAAGTTCACACAAACCAAATTCCAAAAAAAGCATGAAAAATTGACAAAAAACAGACAAACATTTGTAAATCCGGACATTGGTCCAATCATGTGTTGGAAAACGTAAACTGCTGGACTACTCGCTCAGGCAGTGTTTCACAACTGAGCATTCCGTGAATGCTCCTTTTATATTGATCATTCTACAAGCTTCCCAGTCTTACATCGACCCTGTCCCAACTTTTTTTTTGCAATGTGCTCCAGGCATAAGCATTGGAATTTGGCATCAGCAGTTGAAGTAGCAAGCTGTGTCTGTACTTTTGAAAGTGAAAATAAAAAATGAAAAAGGAACAGAAATTGTAAATAACTAAGGTTTTGTTGCGACACCAGTGAAATATTTACTCCTTTCTCGTGGCTTGTCTGCATAGTTGGCCACCCACTGAAGCTCCGCTATAGGCACACATATTCCAAACAAAGCAGTGTGGGTCTGTATACTGTGTCTGCTCCATGCACAGAAACCTCACTCCTACCGAACAAGTGTGCTGTTTCGTAACAGGGTTGGCGCTGCACGCTTGAATCACGTTTGTCTGGCTAGAGTGAGCGAAATTATATGACCGAGCGCATTCTGCGTTGTTCAATCTTGACCTGTTCTTACCTTTCCTCTCGCTGTGGAATCACAGGCAAGCGCTTCTTTATTCCCGTGTCTCTTGGAAACACAGAAAAGCAGATCTGATTGGATTTACTCGACACGTGGTCCACATTTCGATCCAATAGTGCTGCAGATGGCACATAGAGACAGGCTACAGAAGCGCTGGTTGATTGTACTCAATGCGTCAACTACATTTCAAGCAACCCAGTGACTCTGTGGATGGGACACAGGGCCAGACTACAGGAGTTTTTTGTTATGGTTGAGTCAGATATGCACATACATAACAGCGCTTTTATCGGCAAGGAATCTGGATCAAATTCCGATTCCAATAACCAGAAAAATGCTGAATATTGGCTCTGATTATTGCTCAAGCCAATAATCGGTCGCCCCCTATCGCAGATTTTAGCCTGTATGCTGGAAGTGAAAAGCCCTGGATTTGGTTACACTACATTGCAACAGAAAGCACGTTGCGTGTGTGCTGCGCGCCTAAGTGTGTCTGAGAATGTCTGAGGGGGCGAGCTGCTTTACGCCTGCTTTCCCGTCTCTGAGGCCGAAACACACATACACACACGCAGTGCAACACTTCCTACTAATTACCAACGAGACGCTCAGAGGAAATTCCCAACACGCCACTATCACAAACACAGGAGGGAAGCTTTTATTCTTCCGTTCTCTTTTCTTTTCTCTTCTGGTTTGTCGCTTGTTAACATAGCACTGTTGATATGAAGGTGAAAGCAGCTTAGCAGTCTTTCTTTATGAAGTTGATTCAGTAAACAAGAGGTGTGGCAGACTTGCCTACTGTCCGGAAGGTGGTAATGATTCAGGGGGTTCCAGTTAAGGTGGGCAGCAATGTCTGACTGATATGAAAATTGCTATTAATAATCTTTAGACTTTTAAAACGTCTTCTAAAAAGTTCTAATAACAGTATATGGCCACTGATCAAACACCCTGTTTCAGGTAAAGAGGGCTTTATTGACTGATATGACTGTGAGCTCTCACTTGCTATATTTCACAGTCTTAAATAAGTAGGCAGAGCTTCCTAGAAATCTTCGCAGTTTTGTTGGTTTCTATTAATTAGTTTTTCGTGTGCTGCAGACAATGTGCCGAGGCGTTTTACGTTATTTATTTTAAAATAATGATGCACCGATATGGGAGTTCTTTCTCTAGAGGTGTAATGACACACAAAATTCGGCTCAATATGATGAGGTATGACAAGTTTTTTGATACAGCAAAAATAAGGTGTGCCCAAATATGTGCCTTGTGTTTCTCTGTTAATGTTAAATGCCCTGTCTACTCCTTTTCATAATTTTCTATTAACTTTCATATTTCTATTAACTATTATGTATAGTTTTTATTTTTGGTGTATTTTTCTATGAATTGGCAAAGAAAGAATGCTACAGGCGTTGGTCTCTTCTGTTCAGAGATTTTTGAAATAATTTTTTTCCTGCCATTTTCTTCAGTTTGTTTTAGTTGGATGGGACTAAATTTGCAACAGGTGACGTCAGATCTGGCAAAATACCAATCAGACCTAGTACATGCATCCTAGGGTTTCAGTCACGTGATTTTTCTGATGTGTCCACCATATTTGGGACCGAATTTCTGGCTTCGTTGCTCCACACGAATGTAACTAGAGGTGAAAAATGGCTAAAATGACTCACCTCACTCTGAAAGAGAAAAAACGTTACCTCAACGAAGTCGATAAAATAGGCTCTGATCCTTATACAGTTTCCCCCTGAACTCCTGGTCCCACTTAAACTGGCGGAAAGCTACCAAGTTGGTCTTTTCCTGACATTTATATTCATCTCATACACAGCCTCTCTCCCTATTCTGGAGCGTCTCTCAAAGTATCTAAAAGGGCAGAAGCCCACCAGCTCTTCACATCAGGGTGGGTAAAGGGTGTGGCATAAATAGGAGAAAAACCCTGTTATCATAGGAGGGTAAGGCGACATCAGCTAATTAACACAGATGTGAACAATGCTAGCCTTTAGATAACTTTAGCTAATCTTAACAGCCGAGAGATAAACAGTCGTCCCCCTAACGGAGCTGCAGACAGCCGGGTATAACTTCACTCCTCTGTTTCTCTGTATGGAGAAACATAAACGTTAAATATCAGACTGAATGTCGTGGGTCGGAGAACTATGTCGTGTTTCGACAGAAGTGAATCTGTACATTTGCTAGTTCAGTTAGTGCAGAGTTCAGCTCCAGTCCTGCAACCCCTGCACTACATAACTGTGGTTTCCCTGGTCAGAATACCTTATATTAGGTAATTAATCTCTTCTTGAGTTTGAAAACACTGAATTAAAGGTCTGTGAAGTCTCTCATCGTTCTCGGCTTCTGTGTTCTACAGTGTGACGTCACGCGAATCGCGAAAGCACAATAAGGCACACAATAAATTCCTCCACGGTGTCAGTAAATATGACAGTGCTGCCTCATAACGGTCCAGCAGCTAGCAAGCTAGCTATAAGTTATGTATATAACGTTAGTGCTGAGTGTTTAAATAACGGACATGATATGTCCGTGATCTACTCATTATAAGATGAAAGCCAACATTAGCTGCAAAATAACATCTCTAAAATGACCATTAGACAGCTCGTTCTCCATTTGGTACATTTTACTCGCCATTCAGAGACCAGCTGAGAAGAGTGAAGCTGTCTAGGAGGGGGCTCAAACATGTAAGGCTGAACCGGACATGCCCACACTGCTCTGAGCAGGCAGCAGTTCAGAATTTTTGAAGCATTGATCTGCTATTAAACTGTATTAATTTATATACATTTCTTGAACAGAAGACTGGTAAATGCTTATTCCAAGTGATATTTTTTACTACTAAAACACACATTTGAAACCATGTTGACAGGCAAAATTTGCATAATAGGCTGGCGAATCGGAAGCCAACATCAGCCTCATGAAGCTCAGATGCAGCTCCTCCCCATAGGCTTCAAACAGCTACTAAGCGTCGTTTCGTGAATAGCCAAAACAAATATAACGCTCTGTGGGGATCCTGCCATGAGTTAACAGATACCCTTTGCATCTCTATTTGGTTGTAGAGTCCACCTCTACTCAGTTGTAGACTCCACCTCTATTCAGTTGTAAAGGACACCTTTATTTGGTTGAACAGTCTACATTTATTCAGCTGAAGAGTCCACCTCTACTCAGTTAAAGAGTCCACCTCTATTCGGCTGCGGATTTCACAGTTTGCTGTGAGTGATTGAGCTACTTTCGAAAATCCCCTCTTACTCTTTTCAGTCAAAGTGAGAGCCACACTTTATATAGAAACACAAGATCAGATGCTAAATTAACTTGTAATGGTGAGTTCATTTAATATTGAGACGTGGTATTATAGTTTACACTATTTGTTTACTTTTATATATTCTTTTTTATTTATATCATGTCTTCTAAGGAAATGTCTTACTTATGCATTCAACAAGCTGTTGTATATACATTTAATAAATTAGAATTATAATATTACATTAGAAATTATACAATTATAAAAGAAACTATGAAAAAATACAAAAATAAATACTGAAGTTATTTTAGCATTTCTTTTAAGTCTGTATCAAAAACGTATCGTACCGTGATGCACAAATGTGAAATTTGCGTCTCATTGCACCCTTCGCCATCTCTCTCAGTGCATGCCAAGAAACAACTACTTTAGCCTTGTGCAACTTTTCACATGTTGTCTGTTTGCAGCAAAAATAGCAAATTCATTCCACTGTCCCACAGTCACTGTACAAGGCCATTTTGGCCCACTGTTCACAGATTTCACAGCTCACAGAGATGACCCTGGCTGATCTTACCTTGACCTGAGGGTACGTCTTCCTGTTCTTCTCACTGGAGGCTCCCGGGAGTCCACCATGGGAAGGGCCTTCACAGCCATAACGAAACCTGAAGCCTCGCTGAGCAAGACAAAATCAATTTATTATGTATTATTATTATTGTTATTTATTATTATTATTACTATTATTGTTATTATTAAGTAGTAGTAGTAGTAATGGTAGAAGTAGTAGTAGTGTTGATATCATCCTGTCATCAGTCAGGATATATAGGCTATTAATGTATATAATAGGTAATGCATAGTAATAAGTAGTGCATGTTACCTGTTTTGGTTGTTCTATAATTTGGAGACAAGGTCCATCTATTGCAAAAAAAAAGAGAAAATAACATGAAAATACATACTTAAACTTAGCAGAAACAATCAGTTACATACTTTTTTTCGAATTGAATCCATGTGAAATTTCACCTCTTTCCACTGACCATCTCGGATTTGTTGAATACTTACAGGAACTGTCTTTGAATCTGTAGATATGAGGCTTAATTCTTAGTTGAGATATAGCGGTTTTAAAAAGTGGGTGTGACCTTAATTTGTACCTCACAAAAGAGTGCTATGGAAAAACTTCAAGTCATTATTAAGTTCATAAGTACTTAATAAGTATTTATGCTTCTTTGAAATGAGGTGATTGGAGACATTTCTTTATGCTTCAGTTAAACACCACATTTAGCTGTGTGCTTTTTGGGCTCATTCACCGAAATGAAGAACGACAAACGTCCCTCTTTTTACAATAATCTATGACTAAGCAGTTCAAAACTGTTCAATATCAACACTAATAACAATACCTTGATCTTGATACTGATTCCTGAATTGATACTTTCTTCTGAATTACAACTGAAAGTGGGTGTGGCTTCATTCAGAAATGAGTGAGAGAAGCTGGAAGTGGGTAGATTTAGGACCACAGCAGTGGGCGGTACACCAGTAGAAATTCTCACGAATATATGGATGCACATATGAAAAATGACTCGAGAAATTAAAAAAAAACTGCTCACTGGAATTTCCCATTCCACCTTAAATGGTGCAGCAGTTACAATGTAACTACCGCTCCATTTAAGGTGGAATGGGACATTTTAACAACAAGCTGCCGAATATAAATCCAATTTCTTGAGATGGGAAACATTTAAAACATTTAGCACAGTTTTGCTGGGTCAGTGTTAGAAAGCATTACTGACATGGCTGCCTTTATTAAGCCATACTGATAAGACTGACTACTTAGGTATTGAAACTTAGGACTGAATGCCAAAAAAAAAGGGAACCAATAAGAAACCCAAATCTAGTAGGATAAGGACATAGACCTTATTCTGATCTTATAGTTACAGTAAATCATTGGAGTTTTTGTTTACATGCAAGTTTAAAGGTTTGATTCACAATAAAATTAGGATTTTCTATCGTTCTGCTAAAATTCAGTAGTCCTGTGTCTCCAAAAGACTATATTTACTATGATAAATTAGTGACAGAAACTCAATTTTTAGCCATATAGTTTGCTCAATTTACGCTTTTTTGAACTTTCTGCACATTAGTAGTAATTCAGACATTTTTCTTTTAGTCACATTAACTTTAAATGGTCAATATCACAAAAAAACCCACATTTTCCTCACTTTATTTGAAATTAGTTTGATATAATGTATAAACATTGTTAAAATTTCCACCCCGGAGTCCATATACATATACATAAGCTTAGCTGTAACAACAGCCCGCTCGGAATTCAATGTTTCTGTGATATCACATCACAAAAATCAACACATTTACAAATATCTGCCTATTCAGCCTTCAGCCGTTTAGCCCTGCCCACTCATACTAAAGTTATAAGGAGGGTTTCAGCCCGGACAGCATTTCGAATGAGGTGCAATACAGGGCAGCCAATGATAACAGAGTTTATCTACATATATCAGTCTTAAAGGGCCAGTAACACAACAGCTAAATACTAAAGAGAGGTTGGAAAATAGTCCGAAAAATGAACTACGACTGTTTTTGGTATCTGAAACCAGTGAGCAAACTCAGTGAGCAAAATAAAATACAAGAAAAATACAGGATATAGGCCCTTTAATACAGTCTTTCAGGGCATGCGAGCAGAGAACAGAGTAAATGGAGGATTTCACATCGGTTAACCAGACAAAAGGGACACGGCTGCTGATGAGTAAAGGCTGAAGTACTTTTACTGAGTTCACTACGCTGAGGCTGGTATTCAGCAAGTCCATTCATGTGTCGGCTCCGTGTGTCATTCTGAGACCAGCTTTCATTTCACAGCGAGACAGTGTGGCTTTAAATAGCACGTTTTCCATTATGAAACAGAGATTTTTCACTGAAATGGCTGGCGTTTGCTGTTTTGTGTTCGCAGTTTAGAGAAATCCAGGCCACATTTCAGGAAACACGTGTAAGCGTGCAGTCATTCTGAACAGCCATGCTAATTTTAGATCTCACTGAGGCTGCAGTGTCGTAGATCAGGGGTGGCCAATACAGTTGTATATCATCAAGATAAATTAAGTCATTATACACTGAGTACATTATAGATATTGTCAGTACTTTCAGAGCACAGAACAACTACATGCATCAAAAAAGGCCTATAGAGAGCCTGTAAATGACAACAACAACTACTGCTTATTAACCACATAGTACCATAGTAACAACTACTCATAAGCCCAGTTTATACCTGGTATTAAAGGGGAATTCCACTTCCCCTTTCAAAAATTCTCCATAATTAGATCATTCAGATGTGAAATGCTGCATTCTAGAGAACAAAACAGAGTCAGAATTGCTCACAGTGGTGGCGATAGGAACCAGACGTCCACCCCTAAAAAGTTCCATCACAGAAAGCTATAACATGAAATAATCCATATAATGCCTGACGGCTAAAACATTTCCCAAACATCTTTTACAATAGTTTTGCAAAGAGTTTTTTGCCTAAAACATATCTTTTAAAGTCCATTCGTAGTGGAGAGGTAAACGTGGGCCGTCCTAAAGCAAAAAAAGTACCCAAAAAACCTATTTTATCAATTTTACCACTATTTTACCATCACCAACCAACACTGCATACAAAAACTAAGAAGACACATGTGGTGTCACTGGTCATTTTAGATAGTAAACAAAATGGCTATATTTCAGTTGTAGACATGGTGACTCCTGGCTCCTATCACCACCACTGAGAAGAAATCACCAAGTTTCTCTAAGTCGCTAAGTTTCTCTACAGTGAAACCACTCGGAATGATCTCAACGACTGAATTATGCAGAAATTTTAAACAGTGGAATTCCCCTTTAACACTCATCAAGTGATCACTTGTGGACAGTGAGACGAATGGCCGTTTACACCTGGCATTTCCATGTGTCCTGAATCTCCAGTGACCGCTCATGGTCAGATTTCATGTCTGTACTTAGCACTGTCCACTTGATTACGCCAGGTGTGCATGGGGTCATAGGTTTTAGAGCCCTTTTTTAAATGTCTGCTAAGTACATTTTGTCCATTTCAACTTTGGAAATCACAGAGAAAACTAAATATACATATTCAGTGTTTCTCATATGACAGAAACAAACCTGGGGGGGAGCACCACGGGTGGGGTGGGGAGGTTATTGAAATTGTAGCATTTGTTTACTCATTCAAGTAAAGTGAAGGTTTATTAATGACCACAGGCTGATCAGGGACACTGTGAGCCAATGTTTATTCATTAAAATATAAAACATTTACTCTCTGAAAACTGTTAAACTGGGCCGAAGTTTACTTGGGTGGTCATCGATATACTTTGGGGGATGTGGGGGGCACCCAAGCATAGCTCATGTGTGGGAAACACTGATATTGTGTTTAGTGAAAAAGGCTCGAGGCATCATGTTATATTTTTATCATATTGCCCGCATTGGTCTTGAACGATAAATTGGAACGTGGTAAAATATTGGACACCAAAAATTTCATCCAAAAGAGGAAACCTTGACAGAAACAGCCAATAATAATCTCTCAAAATCACAATAAATATGAAGAACACAAACAACTAGTGCCATCTGTACCCTCAGTTTTTGAAATCACAAAAAAAAAACAAAAAAAAACAAATGATACTGCCAAAGTCCCAAAATATAGCTAAATAAATAATGGAATTGGATGACCAAGCATTCTCTGCTGTTGAGGATGCTGGACTTCATGGCACATCCTGTACCCTACAGACTGTAATTATTTTCACTTGATTTTATGTAAACTGTTCTTCTTTATCATCACCTGTTTTCTTTTTTCAGCCCACTGTGTCCTACATTTTGGTTTCGGTTTCGACCAAAGAACTTCATCTAGAGGCATCATAAACAATCATTGCATTTTACACTAATATCAAACAGTTCACAGGCAGATGCAGTGAGCAGGGAAAGAGCAAACTGTTGCTGTCGGAACAAAACCTCATATCTCTATTTTTGTCATTTTTCACATAAAAATTTTGACATTATTTGAAAACGCCTGTTGCCCTTTACATTGTGTGTAAATTTCATGATGAATGGACCAAAAGAATTGGTCCAAAATGATGTGTAAAGATGTCTGGTTCCATTGACTTACATTAAAAGTAAAGTATGTTTTTTTCCTTCTCCTGTAAAGCCACTATTCTGGAGATATGAGGTTTTGATCTGTCGGCAGCGAAATTCTGAACATCACTGTCCGACCTGTTCAGAAGGTTTTTGGGTCACGTTTCATGGCATTCTGCCATGTTCATATTTTGCAATCTTCACTTCTGCAACCACGCCGGTCATGCAACTGACAACCATGCAAAGCACTTTTAAGCACAACTGCTGCTGGATGCTTAAAGCAACACTGACAGATCTGACGATCACTTTTCATTCAGAGGGTGATACTGACCTGTTTTGCTGCAAACTGGATCTGCTTGTGTACACTCATATGATGAGTGGCGCAAATCTCAAACCTCAAACCTCATGGTTAAATCTAATTACGATTCTTTGCATCATGTGCATCTTCAAACTGTGAAATTTTATCTCAGGTTATTTTGGGAAGATTCAGAATTAGTTTTATATATAAACATGACTGAAAGAAATCTGTACACAGCACTGAAATATAGACAATAAAAACAATACACCACATTGCTTTAGTATTTTTAGCAATTTTTGTGCTTGGAAAAAACGTTTGGCTGAACTATGGGTCAAAAGCAATAGTTTAGTTAAGCTTTAATTGATTTATTCAGTAATGATGAGGCGTGGCAGATCTGCATACTGCCCAACAGGAGGTAATGACTCAGGTGGTTCCAGCTAAGGTGGGCAGAAGGACCTGACTGATAGGAAAAATCGATGTCACTTATACCTACAAACTACTGATTAAGACTGTGAAGTTT